AAAAATCAAACCGCCGAACATCGTTACAACCCCGCGAATACTCATGTGCCTTGGTTTCATGTTGATCAGAATTATAGCCACGGAAAATATCCTTCAATGAAGGCTTCTTCACGCTATTTAGGAGAATAAAAGGCAGTTGAATTTCGGTATTGTGGAAAGATTCTATGAACAATTATCCTCGCATCGTCGGCCATGTTTGCGATTACTCGTACGTCACAAAACACACGTGCAGAAATATATCCAGTGTACTCAGAATATTTGAGCGCCGTTACTGTAACCGCGGAAACCTTTTTGAGCTATCCTACTCTCGGCTTAAATTTTCTCATTTTTTACGAAAGTTGTGATTGTAAAATCTGTTAAGCTGCTCTTTTTCTTGCGTGGTTTTCTTGTCTCCACTCAAATTAAGGAAGATATAAATAAATCATTTTGCGTGCTGTGATTGGATAAGGCTATGGTTTCACCGGTTCAACATAACAAAAGAGTCGACAGAAAAACTTTATATTCACGGTTCAGCGGTCAGCTCTTTCACACTTCAATGAGCGTCCATAAAGACAACCTTGAGCTCACCGAAGTATGTAATAAAAAATAAAAAAAGCTAAATAAACAGGAAAATACAAAAAATTGGAATTGACTGAGAAAAATTCTATAAACTGGACTTGCAATTTCTTTACGTAATCAAAAATTATTCTAAACACAGTCTGGATGGTTGTTTAATTAAGCTTTTAGTTAGATATATCTCGCTCAAGTCTGGTAGCTACCCAAGTCAACTGATAGCCATTACAGTTTCGATATCTCTTGAAAAGAAAATCAAGTTTGGAATATGGCTTTTAGAAGGAACTTATGTACAGGTAATTACAAGATGCCATATTTTTTGGTTAATCACAAGTAGCTGCATTGCTTACTAGTGTTTAGTGATTATGTTATGACAAAAATGTTCATTGATTTCAAACCTGAGCAAACAAGAGAGACTTTACAGTTAATTGACTCGAGAGGCCGCTTAGTGTGTGTTGAGTTTGGTGACGGTAAACAAACAGTTAAATTCTTTTTACGTATTTTATAGACATCCCGCTGTCGGAAAAAAAAATACAAAATGAACTCAAAAAGGCCAAAAATTTAGCGTTACCAAAATGTCGCATGGAGCATGCTTAAAGCAAAAGCGGAAATGTTCATTCGCTGTATTTGGATCCGTTGTTCAGCTCCTCTGCCCTCCACCCCCCCCCCACCCTACAAGAACAGAAAGGCGATGGAGGGTTATAGCGACACCAGTGGCTTGTCCTCTTGTACCTCTGTACGCATGAGGCCTCGATCAAATGACAAGCTAAGTAGGTTGGAAATTAAAATAAAGCTGAATGCAAGGCTGCCAATGCCGCAAAAGGCTGATTAATTTGGGGCCAACATTTTGGCTAACGAAATTAGCCTTCCTCGTGCCGGAGCTACACTGAAAGAAAATACTAAATACCCGGGTAAATAACAGCCCTTTTTTTTGTTTTGTCTTATTTTCCACCTCAAGCGGCGTCTGGCTTTAGTATTCTGCAGATTAGAGATCAGGCAAGAAGGATGGAAGACCCTGAAGAAGGAAGGCCGTGCCTTCCGAAATATTTGTGTAAAAGGAATATATATTTCCGACCGTAAAAGTATCCTTGCTTCTTTTGTTTCTATATTTCCAATTATATATGATTAGATCCTTTATCAGGATCCTGTCCTTCTTTTTTGTAAGTTGGTCCTGGCCTTCAAAATTGAAGAAGGAACCAGTCGGTTTTATTTCCTTATATATGCGTTGAGTGGACCGCCATGAGAGCAGTCGTTTCTCCAAGGTTTCCCCATGGTTTTCTTCTCGCTGTACGAAGCGCATCCTCGAAGACCCAGGGACAGACACGGGAGAAAAGTCGCGACGACAGTTTTCAAGCGAAAATATTATAAAAACAATACACGTTGTTTTAAATCAGCTTTGCAGTAGTCTTTGGACTTCTCGTTCCTGGTTCTTTATATTTTGGCTGATTAGATCTCTTTCGATCTTTTTTCTAGAGATCCAACCTTACAACTAGTAGGATCTTCGTCCACGGTTTTTGCAGCTAATTTAATCCTTTAATCAGTTTTCAAGCGGCTCTTTCGCCCGTGCTTGAACACTTTCGTCACACCTTTTCTCTCGTGACTGCCCCTCGAAGCATAGCCGTAACCCGGGGGTGGGGTACTCCCTTACAAGGGATGTGCAGCTGGATGGGGTCACATTTTCACGACTGGAGTGACTATAATGGGGTCGCATTTTCAATAGATTTACTAGAATAGGGTCGCAAATTTTCGGAATTTTTGGGGTAAGTAGGGATTCAAAACGGGAAGATTCTCGGTTAAAAAATCAGAAAGTTATTGTTTATTAAATTTAAAAATAAGCTCGCATTGACCGCATTCAGGAGCCCATCATTACATTCCGCCGCTTGAAACCACATTGATAAGGTCAGGATGCATAAATAGAAACTCTAAGTTGGGATCGCAATAATTACATTTTCCAAAAAGTGACTAAGGTGGGGTCTAAAACACATTAACCCAAGTCCCCCCCCCACCACCCCGGGAGTCGTAGCGTCCTCACTGCTCTCTGCATAGTAGGGCTGGGTATTGGGCTGCCTGTGCGCAACATTCAATATCCAAGATGGCGGCTTTAGCAGGCCTTCGAGTAATTGAGTTTGCCGGCCTTGCTCCAGTGCCGTTTGCTGGAATGATACTTGCAGATTTTGGAGCCGTTGTAACTCGCATAGACAGAATAAAATTAGCTTTGGTTGCAGATCGTCTTGCTCGCGGAAAAAGGTCCGTTGCCATCGACTTGCAAGATTTCCGTGGAAAAGAAGTGGTAAAAAAGTTATGCTTGAAGGCCGACGTGTTGATCGAGCCCTTCAGACCAGGAGTGATGGAGAAACTCGGCCTAGGACCGGAGATATTATTAAAAGAAAATCCTAGTTTGATATACGCTCGATTAACAGGTATGTATATATTCAAAGGATACAATAGTGGATGCATATATGGTATTCTCACATGAAGTATATGCCATACAATAGACCATTTCACAGTAAACTGTTATGAGCTTGGTACCATAGCCTCTGAGTGAATGTGAGGCTGGAGTTGACCTTGCGTTATACAAACCTCTTTTCTTTTCTTATGAAAATTATGGATGGGGCAACGGGAGGAGTGAAAATTACATTATTTTATTGTATAAAATTCCCCTTTAAGCTTCCCCCCCCAACTAATCCCCCCTCTCTAATGAGCCCCCACCCCCTTTTCAAGGGAAGAAAGTTGTTTAGCCACCCCTCTCTGTTACAGTCAAACCCGCCCGGCAAAACCGTGAACACTTGAAACTTTTCCTGGAATGTTTTATTGTGTTTTGATCAATCCCAGCAAAGATCAGGAGTTGTGAACTAGCCACAAAACCATAAACTTATAAATGTTCTTCGAGAAATATCTCTGGGGTTCACCGTTTTCCCAGTTTGACTGTAAGCCTCACTCCCCCTATTCTTAAATAATAAAATGTATGAATGGTCCAACTGTAACACTTTGTGTGGAATGATCCGGTGTGGCTTATTCACATACTGGAAGTTTCAGATTTGGTTTTGAACTTCAGTTGCATGTGACCTCTGACCTCATGTGTTTGAGGTACAAATGTATTCCAGTTAGCCTGCAAACAGGCTTCCAAGTGGAGAAGGGCAAAAAAGAAAACAAGAGAGCGAAGTGAGCCGAGTGTGGCCTGGAGAAGGAAAAAAGGCAGAGGACCTGAAGCCCGAAAACTTTGTTGTGATGAGAGAGAGCAAGACGAAACACTTTCAATCTGTACATGGCGAAAGGCCCGCAGGGCCCTGAGGGCCATCTCCACTTTCAAAATGGCGGGCATTATTGTATAATACATTTTGAAAATGACTTCCACGAGTAACTCGGTCGATTCACAGGGATTTAAAGTTTATCTTGCATCTTGCAATTTCACAATCTAGATGTAGATACAAAACAAGGAGGCAATGCAAGACACCAAGAAACAATTATGTTTATTCCAGTGGGATTTTTGTTATTTTCGCTTTATACCTGCAACAATGAACATCTTCACCCATAATGCCGAGTCGACTCAGCCGTAACAGGTGTTACGGGTTACGGCCCTTATTGACATCCTTGCTAATGTCCACCTTACAGGCAGAGCCTCTTGTGGATGTGGCTAATTTAAGAGCTTTCCTCTTGTTGAGAGGGTTAATAATATTGTACTACTTTGCAATCTTTTTTTTTTTTTTTTTTTTTTTTTTTTTTTTTTTTTTTTTTTTNAGATTCCAACGATTAATACAACATACACTGCAACCAGGCTTGCTTCACGCATACGTAGATTAGATTATAATCATTTACAGTAAGGAGAGGAGAGGCTTCCATTGTGAAAGAAATTTTGCTTTTTGTCCTTTGGAATAAAAAATCGATCTTTGTACAATTAACTTGCAATCTTTGTTTGCAGGTTATGGTCAAACAGGTGGTAATGCTAAAAGAGCAGGTCATGATATCAACTATGTTGCCCTCAGCGGCTTGCTGTCCATGCTGCAATGTAAGGATAAAAAACCGTGTCCACCCATAAATCTCTTGGCGGATTTTGCTGGTGGAGGTATGACTTGTGCCCTTGGAATATTACTGGCCTTGATTGAGAGAAACAGATCAGGAAAAGGTCAAGTCATTGACTCATCAATGGTATGGACCTTCATAGAAGGGGTATAGAATGGTAAATTTGAGACTTTGAGACCGCAAGACCCCAGTTTCAAAATTTGAGACCAAGACTTAAAAAAATTCGAGAATCCAGGATGCAAAATCAGACGCAAATGAGACTTTGAGACCTGTCACAAACACTTCTGAGATTTCGAGATCGGGCCAAAATTTTCCAAGACCCACGGATTTTGAGGAACCATCCTATGCCCCTAATAGACTAAATGGATGATTTAATCACAAATAAACATAACCCCAGGCTAATTTGTTTGTTGCTCAGTTACCACTGTGGGTCGAGCATTCAAGGGACGTCAGGGTAGAGGTGTGCCCTAGAGAACTTTAGTTACAACCCGATTCATTTAATTTTGCATACAGAATTAAGTAATTTTTCAAACTAACATCTTGGAATATTTTTTTATTAATTTCCTCTGGGGAAAAAAAAATTGTTGGCACCACCAGAGTAGACCACTCATTGCTAACTTTCACACCCTTGTAAAAGGACTCCAGTCCAAAAGGACACACCATTCAATCATTTATCCTTTTTTAAGACTCAAGACCCTGAAAACTAAACCCTGATTAGAGGCACCATACCAGACAAATAAGGCTAACCCTGTGTTAATCCTCTAAGTCCCGATAGTGACCAAGATCAATTTTCTTCTAAGAATACCCATATGTTACCAAGAGAAATGGTTATGAGAGTTTATAAAATGATCACCTAAGAGAAAATGCTTTGATCTTGTACCAAATTCTCTCAACTTATTCCTTAAGGAAATGTATAGAGACCAGTTTGGAGAATTTGTATGTGGATATTGGGACTTAAAGGGTTAATTACAAATGGAGCATAAAGTTGTCATGGTAATGACCTATGGATTTACGGTTTAGGCAGTCATATTTATCTGAACCACTGTTTTGTTTTTTCACTTAATTTTTCTCAAAGGTTGAAGGCACAGCTTACGTTGGATCATTCATTTACAAGAACCTTAATTCAGAATTTTTATGGCCAAACAAAACTGAGCCAGGTACCAACCTGCTGGATTCTGGGGCACCATTTTATGACACCTATCAAACAGCAGATGGAAAATACATGGCTGTTGGTGCTCTTGAACCCAAGTTTTATGACAGACTTTTAAGTGGTATGCTGATGTTGCACAGACAGCCCAACTTACATGCAAGGAAGGGTGTAACATATTCTTACATATGCTGCAGAGGGTGGAAATTGACCATGGGCCGTCAAGACATTAAGGGGAATAATACATTCTGATTTACAAGCCTTAAACAAGGCAAATTTCAACTTATCTTGTAAAACTTGAATAAGCCAACTTGCTCAGTTGTTGTGTATTTTTTTTTTGGTCTAGTGAAATATCATTGTTAGAATTTTTGGCTTCATACTGATTCCACTTTTTGCCCCTTCTCAACTCCAGACACCCTTCCACACATAGTGAGTTTGGGTTGCCTGTGGTTGTTGTCAAAGCAAGCGACACAGTCATCAGTTGTATAAATAGTGGCAAAGTTAAATTTGCCAGAACTGGCCCAAATCTCGTACAGTTGGGAGTAACCTGGCCTAATCACTCGCTTGTTAAGCGTATGCTGTATCATAAAAAGCTTACATTCCAATCCTCTTTTGTATAGCAAAAGGAATCTTTGATATTTTGACTGTATACTGTACTCATGAATTTATTTGTTGTGTTTTCAGGGCTTCAACTGGAAGGACAACTTCCTCATCAGATGGATATGGATCAGTGGCCTAAAATGAAAGAACAACTTGGGAAGGCATTTGCATCGAGGACTCAAGCAGAGTGGTGTGAAACCTTCAAAGATCTTGATGCTTGTGTTGAACCAGTGTTGACAGTAGATGAAGCAGTAATCCACCCCCATAACAAAGACAGAGAAACGTTTGTCTTAAATGAGGGGTTGTACGAGCCAACCCCAGCGCCCAAGCTATCAAGAACTCCTGGAAACTGTGAACAAACACCCTCGATATGTATTGGGCAACACACAAAAGAGATCTTACTGGAAGCTGGTTATTCACAAGCTGAAATTCAAGAACTGTTAAAAGAGGGTGTTGTTGATTGCCCAAACATGAAATCATCACTTTAGAAAAATGCCACATTTGGAATTGGTAAATGTTATAAGACAGTGACCAAGGTATCCCGGCATCAAAGTTTATAATCCTCTTCTCTCGTCTAATTTTCCATGTGGTGTTCAGCCCTATGGGTGATTTGATTGACCACAATCAAAAAGTGGAAAGAATCAAAATATCCCATGGGGGATGGGGACACCTCTAACCATTATAACCTCCTATCCCCATCCTCTTTGGTAATTTCCTCTGACAGGACTCCCTTAAGAAAGTGACAAAGGTGTTCGTTGTCTCGCTAAGGGGAAGAAATGGAAAGCCAATATTTTTACCCATTTAAGTATCACATAGGGTTGTGTGTAAAAAAATATTTATATTTAAAAAAAGCAAATATCATCGTACGGTTAGTATCCTTTCAGGGTCAGAAAAAGCCTCTTCCTCAGAGAGCCAGGACCAGTAAGTCAGTTCAAACGGTGTGACGAAAGTCTTCACTGTGTTTGAAAACTTTTCGTTGTGTTTGAAAACTTTTCTTGCATCGTTTCTCCTAACCCAATTGACTGCCCCTCAGTCAGTTAAGGATGATAGAGCTTAAGGCACATTCAGATTAGTCTCTCCGATGAGCATCCCTATTCTTGTTTCTTTTATATGAGAGTATCTCCCTTGGGAATCAGCCCTTCACCCAGTTTTCACTTATCACCAGAAGAAAATATGGTCCTCTTTTGAACTCAGCAATTGAACTAAATAGTGACCAAAAAGGGGACTGTGAACAGTCCATCTCCAACTAAGCAACTTTTTGGGGATAACAAAATGTAGCAATGGAAACATTAATTTACTCTCTACAAAAGCCACCTTAGTAATGTAAGTGGCCATTATTGAGAGGCAGGATTTAACAGAGCCTTTGTTTGGACGAAGGGGAGAATTTGAAGTTTAGTTTATAAAATGCTGATTGTAGCAAATAAATAAACAATATGTCAATAAAGCTAGAACTAGCACTCTTAAGGTAACCATTTTCATTGAACAGCAGTGGCATTTTAGAGACAAGTAAACACACACAAGGGAATGCATGGACTTTCTGCGGGGCCAAAGCTGTGGCAATAGACCTTTTTACCGATACGGCGGCCATATTGAATTAACTCGATTTAAGGAGTATTATAGGATGCCCAGGGGGCATGAGCACATTTCGTTTGTATTTTCGAGCGCTTTTCGGGACATTTTTTCTTAAAGGTTTCTTACAATAAGATTCTAATGGGAAAAAAGATCCTTGTGCCGCGTTTGGATGTAATAATGATCGCCTTTCTGCCAAGAAATATACAGTGAAAGATCATATTTCTAATACTAAACTAGAAAAAGGAGATCATTATTACTTCCAAACACGGCACAAGGATCTTTTTTCCCTTTACAATCTTATTCTAAGAAAAGTTTAGCAAAAAATGTCCCGAAAAGCGCTCGAAAATACAAACAAAATGTGCTCATGCCCCCTGGGCATCCTATAATACTCCTTAAATCGAATTAATTCAATATGGCCGCTGTATCGGTAAAAAGGTCTATTCACTTTACTCCCTGGCAATTCAGTCATATGTGGCAAAGACTTTCCTAGTAACCTTTTCCTGGTCACAAGCTCCTCCATAGCAGCCATGAAAAGGCATTTTTAGGCACCCACATTGGCATATGTCCCATCCCTGGTGAAACAAGATTGTTTCCCCTTATTGTCAAGAAAACAACACCTGTCATACAGCTGAATTTTAGTTCTAGCAGAATGAAGCAGACCGTTTGAGCAGCTAGGTTGCATATAGCCTGTGTGACAGATGTTAAAAGAAGAAGGGGAAGGGGAAGGGGGAATTTGGGTGCGCATGCTCTCGTGCCCTAATTCCCTTCCCCTTCCCTTTCGAACGGCTGCCACGCAGGCTAGCCTGCGTCACGGGTGCCATTTTTTTGGGGCGAAGGAAGAAATCTTGAGGGCATGCATAGGGAGAAAAGGAGAGGAGGCCTCCTCTTCCCTCTGCATGTTCCTGTTGCATGGCCTTTGATAAGATATTTTTTATTACCTGTGCCTGTTATGCAGGCTAATGAGCAGCTTGCTTACATGCAAAGAACTTAGCTCGTACACAAATAATTCAGGGTACCATTTAACAATTATCCTCTAATCCTTTATTGTCTAACAGGCCTATTTACAATCATGAATGCCCAGCTAACATTGATAATAGAGAAATAGCCTTTGTTGGAAATAATAGAAACAGATTAACAATACTTATTATGGACTAAAGCGATTTTACTTGACCCACGAAAAAAGTAAAACTCACCAATGATTATCAATTATGAAAATATAGACAAAAAAATTGTAATTTGGAATTAGATAAAATATACCCTAAGGCGATGGTTCAACTTTCAAAGCAAAACAATTCAAAAGCCTTTAACAGATTACGGAAAGAAATAGAGTATCATATATTGGAACTGCAACAGGAAGATGAACAAATCTACAGCAAAGTTTAGAGTTGTTTAGTTAACTTTGAGTTGTTGTTGTTTTAAGTCTAAACCCGGCTGCTTGACTTTTAACGTGGATCAAGCTTGATATACATTATCATATGTAACCGTACGAGCCCATCGTAACACTGTTGTAACACAGAAGTTCAGCAATATAATAGACCATCATAATGGCCGCCTATTAATATAATCTTTTGTATGTATGATAATTAGCCTTAGCATGTGCAAAATACAGAAGAATTCTTACTTTCAAACAAGGTCAGAAAGGCTAATTATCACACATATAAAAGAATATATTATTAATAGATCACCATTATAAAAGAGGTCCATGGGACAAGTTACCCTGGATAACTTCTACTTTCCGGGGTTAAGTAAAATCACTCCTACACAGATGTTTCATTGGTAAGCTGATAACATGTTGGAACCATTTCAAATCCAAGATAGAAATTCTTCAGTGATTTTACTTAACTCGTGAAATATAGCTGCATTTTTCACTTGTTTCAAGGGCCATGCAAAATCACTATCCCTTAACCTCAACTCATTAAAGTTTTCAAAAAGTACAAACTTTTCAGAATGATCACAAGAGAACATCATTAACTTGGGTAACAGTTCTTTTCATGAGCCAGTACAGTGTAAATTCTAAGTTGCAAATTTTAAGTGAGAGAGAGAGAATTTTCATAGTGTGGATTGCTAAAGTTTTTCTACAACATACGTTTTATCTGTTGACCTGTTAAATCAACAAGGGATCTTCTATCCAATGACTGTTACCCTAAAATCTCTATGTACATTCAAAATATTCTTTTAATTATCAGCTAATTCTTTCATCCAAATCAGGATTACAAAACATATATATTCAACTATTTACAGACGTTGGTTATTAACAACGTTCTAAGCAAATTAATGCCTCAAATTTTCTCTAAACGATGTTCTTATAAAAAAAACCTGAACATCACCATGACAAAGATGAGAAATAATGTGAAAACGAATACAGAATGTGCACTTTATGAAATCTCTAAAATGGGCTATATGAAAACATTTAATACTGCCAATATGTAAACCATCAATACCTCTTCAAAAAGATGCCTCTATTATGGACAGTTGCACTGGTCCAAGAGGCACCAATTTTTACGCATTCCCACCTTTATAACAGGGACACCTCTGTGCTGAGGACACTTGGATCTGCCACACTGGTATCCATATTAAGGAACTGTGTCCAAAACCCATGAACAATGCGATACCACATAACTCCTCCACTCTCAAAATCACCAGCTGTGGCCATTAAGACCTCAGAAGCTGTACTTGCCAATGGTACTGTAAATTTCACATTTTTTAAAAATTTCATTTGACCTTTGGGAGTGAAGGGGTTGTTAAATGGCTGGTGCTATGCGAACACTGAAAGGGTCTCAATAATTATATCAAACATAATGGTACTTAGAATATAACGTTTTTAAATTATGTTCTATTTACAGATTGACAGTAAATAATATTGTATTAACTTACCACAAGTAACATCTTACCTTAACACATTTTACCAATTCTATTTAACCACTATTGCTGAATAACTGGAGGAAAAGAACGTCTACAATACCACCAACAAGGTGGGGGAAAATGCATTACAATATACCTTTCACAAGGCTGAAATTGACTAAGTTTACAGCTATTTACATTCAATAATTAATCTCTACGGTCAAATCAATTAAACTGAGCCTAATGCTTTTGAACTGAAATAAAAAAAAATTTTGGGCTAGACATGGCCCTGCATGACAGATTTGAATGCAAATCTGCCCAAATTTGCAAACATTCATTTGCAGTTATCAGCATTAAGACAAAAAATATCTTCACAATTTTCAAAAACATACATCATAAGTAGGATATTAATGTGTATACTGTCTGCTTGAGGATGTGATTTGTTCTGTAGAAAAATACCTCTCTTTACTACAAATATAATTTGGGATGTACTCAGCTTTGGTATGGATCAATAATTTCCGCCTGAGATGATGAAATTGAGAGATCTACCATGGGAATATTAAAAGAAAACTGAAACATAACTGTGGATTTCTCGTTCAGTAACGAAATATAAGGAAACAGTGCTATTCACAATTCAATTGATAACTGAGCACCAAGTCTGGGTCTACACTTTGTAACAGTGAGGTTTAAGAGTAGAGAAAGTCCTTAAACAACATGAGCTGGCAAATGTTGCAACAGGCAGAAGGTTTTGTGGGTTACAGATATAAAAGTGATAAAATCATTCATAAGATTTTAAGGTTAACATGTGATCTCAAAATTTGAATACAAAGACTAGAAGGAGGCATAATTTTTTGACTGATGAGAATGAAGGTTCATAATTAAAGTGATCTATACAACATTTAACAAAGAAGCTACAAACGTTTTTCAAATATTTTGCGAGGCACCGAACAAGAGCCTCTGCAACAATGAAAGATTAAATTTCTAAGCAATGTATAATTTGACTTTGTACAATATACAAAATTTAACAGAATCTTATGGTACAATAATATAAAATTAATTAATTGCTACAACAGTATTTTTTCCTTTGACAACAGCTTAGCCTTTCTTTTAATAACAAACTGTTATCATTAACAGATGGATTCTGGTAGATATTCAAACTTGACACCATTCTGTGTGAGTCTTGTCACAAAATGTTCCAATTGCTTCAGCAACAAGTTGAATGTTGGTCTCGATGTAGGACTAGACTCCCAGCAATTCTTCATCAACAAATATCTACAAAAAATAAACCAACATAATTATCACGTTAAGTTTGTTTATGAAAAAACTTGAAGAGCCAGGGACCCGTTTCTCGAAAGTCCCGGTAACTTTTTGGGCCCGAAATAAAATATTCAAATCAAAATATAAAGAATAAGAGCGCCACTCCTGGCTAGCAAACGACTCCATTTTGTTTCATTAACTGATAGTTTTATCATGTTAGATGCAAAACTATTGGAACCTCGATCTTTAATGTAAACGGAGACAGCTTACCGGGCCCGTTAATTATCGGGGCTTTTGAGAAACGGGCCCCAGATCCTGATAATAAACTGCTGCTTAAAAAACCCTAGGCTTATACAACTTTGAAAGGGGTTTTAAGATGGTTTATAAACAGAGAGCTTTATAATATTATCTGATGGCACTTGTAACTGGAACAGAAAACGAGCTTTGAGAAAGGCTATAATACTAGCAGTGATGATCAAAACATTTTGCATTTACTGATTTTTAAATAAGCTTCAAAACATCATCATAAATTGAATTCAAGAAATGGAAAGCTAGAGGGGGGCTTATAATCAGATGTATTTTTTGCTTACTGGAAGATAGGCCAATAAGGAGGGCTGGGGGCTTAAAGGTGACAGTTTACAGTATTCATAAGCTAGTAAAACTCACAGGTCTTGAGGACAGTTGCTTGGTTGAGGAAGTCTCTGTCCCGCTTGCAAATGCTGCTCCATTTTTGAGTTGTCAATGGCTTGATATGGTGCTTTTGCTAAAGTGACAAGCTCCCATAACACTACACCAAATGACCACTACAAAGGAAACAAACTGTTGTAAGAAACTGTCCAGAATAGCTTGAACACTATTAAAACCTCAATAAGAGAACAAGAGAAAAATGCAGCCCTTGTCTATGATCACAAGCCAAAACACCACTTATTTGATTGAAAGTTCTATAAATAAAACTACTGGTATGCCTTACTTGCACTGTAGAGATGAAAATGCTACAAGTTTGACGGTTATTTTGAAGTTTTTTTTTTTAACAAATTTCTGACAACTCTTATAGGTTGTACATAATACAGACCAAATCAAAAATTAAGATATTTGTCAGCTAGTGTCACTCCAATTCAAAGGAATAGAAATTTAAGCTCTGAAATGCACAACTCTGCCTTCAAAGAATGTTGATTTAGATTATTTTAAACTGTCACAGTACTAAAAAAAACAGTGGAAGACGTGTCCAAAACCTTGGTTATGATGAATGATTAGTAGCCATTTCCACATCACCCACAATACATTTGGAGGGTGGGGAAGGGGATTGAGGGCAAACAAGGTGTATTGTGAGAGATGGGCAAATGGTCAAAGTAATTCTATGGATGAGGCAATAAACAGAGGAAAATAAGGTCTGCCATGTGGATGAAATGAAAACGGCTTCCCTTATTTTTTCCTTGATCAGTGTCAATCCCCTTTTTCCACCTACAAATTGAACTGCTGATCAACATTATTTCTCCAAAAGTGACAGATTGAAATCAGTACAATTATCAAAAATAGTAAGGAACTAAACATACCACATCACTTTTCTCTGAGAATTGTCCTCCTTCTTGGAGACTCTCAGGAGCAGACCATTTCACTAGCAGCCTGGATCGAATTCCTTTGTCATTTAAGTTGGTGGAGTTTACATCTTTAGCAAGACTGAAATCTGTTATCCTGATGCTCAGGTCATCACCAACACTGAAAAAGACCAGCAATGTAAAGATCACTGATTGCAAAAGTTCCAATAGCGACAGTACTGATGTTGGAATTTTACCACTGATTACAACTTCTGATTACTGGTGGAATAACAGCTACAATGCAATAATTATGCCACCACTGCAATACTATTAGAATCACCAAAATGGCCTTAATTCTCACCTCTATATTAGACACAAAAACAAATACTTAATCCTTTTACTGAAACATCGAGCCCATTTGATTCCCCAGTTTCCAATCCCAGTGTGATTCACAGTTCAGTAGGGAAATTACATCATACAAATAACATAGATCTTGGGGTTCCAATCCCATTGAAGCTTTTTTTAAGAATTATTTATTCATCTTCTTATGACATTAATTGCTTAAACTGTATGCACAATATTACTATCAAACCCTTTCATGGAACAAAAAAGGCAAACAAAATCCATAAAATTCAATCTTACATGCAATTTTTGGCTGCAAGATTCCTGTGTACTATTTGTTTTCGACTTATGTAATCCATTCCACTGCAGATTTCAATTGCAAACTCTATCAGCTGTCGTGATGTTATCGTCTGTTAAGAGAGAACACATGTTTCAATGGCAACAAAAAATTATAATATTATTTCTTATCCTTGAAGTATTAATCCCATGGTATTGACAAGTTTAGAAGCAGGATGGCTAGCTGGGAAAAATATTAAATGCTCAGAAGTATCTGAAATTTGAAAACAGCCAGTTTACAGCATATATTTGAAGCTCATCATTTGCTGAATACCCAAATAAGGGGTTTCAATAAGTACCGATGACCGACGAAACATGCCAGCTACTTTGCTCACAGCAGTCGGCTACTTTTTTCCCCAAAAGGGAAGCAAAATTGTAGTTTAAAAAATGTCATAAACAAAAAAAATATCATTAAATCTGAACAAAAATGTAAGTTAATTATGATGTGCTCTCAAGGTCCTCTGATATGTTATGCTTTAGTTACACCAGACATGCTTCTGGTTACACAAACACTGTATTTCAGCTAATTTTTCCCACGTTTCTTTGTAGGTTTACGCAGAATTTGTTCATGTGCAAAATAATGTACTTAATTTTGAATATTGACATTTGTTCATTGCTTGTGAGAATTGATCGTATGGCTATGAACCCTGAAGGAGAGCTATATTTTCTTGAATGAAAAACACGCTCTTCTGTACTCAATGTTGTCCCTGGAACACTAGAAATAAAATTTTAGGGCTTTGAAATTCCAAAATTTTCTGGGGGAGCACACCCCCAGACCCTCCCCCGCAAAAAAGGGGACCAACAGCCCCTTGTTGATACAGTTGGTTACTCTATTTGAACCTGCTGGCTACTTCAAATTATTATTATTGCAACCCCTGTAAAGTCTAATCATTTAACTTTTAAACTCAAAGGTTGGTGATTTTACCTGTACTCGAGCAGATGTTGCCCTTGAAATCTTCAAAAAGTGACCTAAATCTCCATTTCTAGTTAAAGGTGTGACAATATAAGGGGCCGCTGCACGCTGGAGAACCACGCCCACAAGTTCAACAATGTTGGGATGTTTCAGATCCTTAATAACTACGGCTTCCTGAATGAAAGATGAGATTGTATCCATGTCAGCTTCATCTGCAAAGAAAAAACAGATCATTTTAGACTTAACAAATGCACTTTCTCCTCACTTCGAAAGCTGAAGTTCAATACAAACCTTTAAGCATTTTAAATTCTCCCATTTAATATCAACAAAAGCTACACTTGCATACCTCGAAGTGCCTTGATGGACACATCAATCTTCTTACGAGGCTGTTCGTCAAAAAGCCCACGTACAGTGCCTTTGTATAAACACCCAAAAGTTCCTGCAATACAATAAATTTTATCAATCAGCATAACTGTTCAGATGAAAGGTTAATGATCTTTTCAAAAGGCAATAACATTATCCCTGCAAGAGGATAAATCTAACATATTGCTGAAATGTTAACGTCACGTTGAACGTGAAATTTTTTTATTTGGCTGTGGGTGAAGGTAGAGTGAAGCAAGAATTTTTCACTTTACCTCTAATCAAGGGTTCTCCAACAGACACCTGGTCTCGTGACAGTAGTAAATCAGTGAACTCTGCTGCCCAAAATTCATTTAGAGAAGTGAATAAACCTTCTATGTTCTGAATTTCATCAGGAGCTGTAAAACATTAAAACAGTAACATTAAACTTTTATCTTGACATTATGCCAGAGTATTCAGGGTATTTTCTTTAACCCTGGTTGTTCAGGCAAAAAGCCTGGAGATATCGCATATACCTCCAAATTCAACTGAGGTAGTTTGGAAACTCTTAAACAATTCATGCAGTATCGCACAAAGTATCTCGTTTTAATACATGTGAAGTCTGGCAACCATTCTATCATTTCAGGCGACTTTGAAAAGTGTTGAGCTTGAAGGACCGGGTATTATTACTGAACATAAGATGAAACAGTTCAAATACATCAAGGTTTTCTGAAAGCTCTAATAATTGTAAAACAAATATTGTCAAAATATACAAATGAAAAATGTAACAGCTGACAAATTTTGCCTAAAACATAGAATCTATAATCCACATGATATTCATAAACCCTCCTACAGCAAAAATTTAAAATACTTAAAAACCAGACAAGTAAAACAAAATGTAACTCACTGTTACGCCTCTCTAATAAAGATTCTGTCTCGTGGGATGACAAGGATGACGATGATGATGGTCTCTCGTGAATCCAACTGTACTTTGGAACTGCAGAGGAAAACAAAACATGTCTTGATGTAGTGTTGATCTTGCATTGGGTATTCCCTTGAAGGAACCAATCACAGTGAAAGGTGTCTTGACAAAAGCACACAAGTCATCATTTAAGCCAAGATTCCTTGCCATCTCTGCAGGGCCTTTCTTAATTGAATGGTCAAGTTTTTGCTTTTCAAGATTTCCAAATCACATACTGGTTACTTACACATTGATTGACAGTTGTCTTGTAAGACAAGATCATGCTCAGAACTCTAAGCAACAACTCTGAATGGAGGGGAGGGTTGAGTATTATATCTCACAGTTGTGTGACTAGCAGCGATTTGAAATAAGAAAAGCCGGTTTTTCCTTGGAGTGTCTCAACATTTTTGCAACTGGTTGTAGCTTTTGCTCAGGATTTAATCGACTGGACACCAAAGATTCATAACTTTTGATACACTGGGCTTCCTACAATTTACCCAGGGTAAAACCTCGCAAAGAATTCATGCTCACTCTACAGTCAACTCCCTTTATAGCGGACACTGTGGGGACCTCGAGTTAGTGTCCTCATTTGCGAGTGTCCGTAATAGCAGGAGTTGATTTTAGTCAAACATCTGTAATTTGTTTTTGCTGGGGATTTAGCTGCTGTCCGTATTGTCGGGGTGTCCGTTATAGTGGGGTGTCCGCAAGGCGAGAGTTGACTGTATTAGAAATCTTACCTCCTTTCCTGGATTTTTCATGTCTTCTGTGTTTATGTCTTGAACTATGTCTGGCATCCTTGTTGCTGTATTTTCCCTCTGGCTGTTCTGGAATGTGTGAATCACTGTCTTCTTCTGGAATTATAAGTTTAGATATTGAAGTGTCGCTACCAGAAGAGTTTATGCGGCCACGCCCCTCAGCCGGTAAAAACTTTGGTTTTGGTGGGCTGTAGAAAACTCTGGTTTTAGAAACAGTTACGGGATCATCCAGTTCATCATCTTCGACTTTTACTTCACTTTTTGAGTATGTGTAAACCTTTTGGGGCCTGAAATACAATATTAAGATAGGCACTTAGAAGGAACGAATGTGAAACCAAGTTAGTCAGTAAGAAAACTATCTTCTGCCCAAATTTCTTCGAGTCAGGTGTCAGCTGAAGGAAAGCTTTAAAAAACCACTTTTAAGGCGATTGAAAAATATTGGTATGACCTCTGAAAAACTGTATCAAAACACCTTAAACAAACTACCTGAATATTGAAAGAGCAAAACAGTTACAGTAATCTGAGAAAATTTGAGCCCAACACACTGGATAATTTTGGACAAATTATCTTTGAAAAACTTGAAACTTTACAAAGTATGTATGGGATCTTTAAGGTTTTTGCCACTCAGCAATTTCGCAGTTTTCGATGGCCGCTATTTCCTTTGTTATTGCTTACAAAGAGCTGCAAATTGCTCAAATTTACAAACTCTTTCAACTTTTGAATTTAATTTGTGCGTATGGAGATGCCTTCTATGGGTTAACATGCACGCTAATGAACAAAAATGTAAACAATGATATCAGCAAAAATTTTCCTCGTATTCAACAATTTCACATACTCTATTACACTTCACTTCAATAACAACAACAACAGCAAAAATAATGTTTGAGTGTCACCCATAAAACTTAGACAAAAAGTCATAGAACAAGGGTTCCAGTACCTGCTGTCACCCATTTCCAGTTCATTCTCAAAATTTATTTTTAGCTTCCTCTGTCTCAAGACATAACGGCATAATATCAATAGTCCAGCTATTAATAAGATGACAACGGTCAGGCCCGCAGAGAGTCCAACGATCAGTCCACGTGACCAGATTGATGGGGTGGCTGCTGCAGGCTTAGCAATTTCTGTGCTATCATCATTCCCACCTGTAAGCAAAATAAAAATATGGAATTAAAAAAGGTGGCCTTAACCAAGTGCTTTTTTGTGTTTACAGTTTTCATAGAAACTGTTGAAGACTAGGCCAGATACAAGATAGTGTACAAGGCTGTGCTGTGAGGAAAATTGAAGAGAGCCCAGTCCTCAGAAACTGTAAAATCTAGGGTGCACAGCATATGATTTGTATGAAAAATCTTAGATTCTCTAGTTACCCAAGAGCAAAAGTTAGGCGCCAGGAGCCACCAGGCTCTGCAAGAGCACAGTCCCACGGTATGTTTCATAATAAACCAAACACCTATCTTCATAAGTCCAAGTCCAATGTTTAAGAAAAAAACAAAGTGTGGCCCAGGTAATTGCAATATAGGTGATTTACAAGCTGACTTGCAAGTAAACATCCATTGGAAATAATTTTTTTTTTTAAGGCTCTTTTAATAGAAAAGGCAGTGAAGAAAAATAAAAACAGATACCTGTTTTTAAGCATTTCCTCCTTGCTGTAATTGAAAATGACTTAAAATCCCCTACATCAACTGACGCTGCTGTAACTTTTGTGTAGTTGAGATTAAAAGTCATGTCAACTTGACCAGTCGTTTTACCAGTACATATAAAGCGAACTGAAAACACTAGTAAAATGAAAACAGAAAAAAATGTGTTTAATTAATAAACCACGCAGACATAAGTGCTGATGAGTCATGGAAGCAGCCTCTCTTCTTTTTTTTAGAAAAGGTTACCCCTTTGAATCCCAAGACAGGGATCCATATTCCCAGTCATCCGGTCGTCCCAGACGACTACAATCTCGTATGAACGATTAAGATAACTTCAAAAGTCCCCTTTTGGACAAGTGAGGTTTTGCTCAACCACAAAATCTTTTCCAAGATTATTATTTTCCCTGTGTTGTGATTACATTTCTGATCCACTTAAAGCTTTTAGAATAATGGAGAATAACAAGCAGCTTCTGTCTGCAATGAAATCATAAGTTTGGACGCCATCTTTAATGGTGTAGCATTTTCTACGAAATGATCCCAGGCTCAGTTTTTTGAGAAGCACTGCATTCAGAGGCCATTCATCGAAAACATAACAGCAATTGTCAAGATCTGGCATTTTTTAAAACGCGTTTCGTCGACTTTGGTGGGAAAAAAAGGTGAGCATGAAGCTGGTGCTTTACACACTTTCAGATGTGACATTTTTAGAAGACATTTTGCAAAAAGGTCACGCGGGAGCAGCTGCCTGATATGGGGGAAAACACCAGCACGTCATCTTGCCTTCACGGCAAACTGACCAACCATGGCTACTTGTAAAACATAAATGCTAATCAGAAATGTTCCAGTTGCACACAATTTTTTCACCATTCTTTTAAGTTTATATAATTCTGCACTTTTGCCCGCCCAACCCAAATTGTAAACGGGCAAGTATGCCATCAGGCTTACTTGCCCCGCTCATGACTCTGAGAAAAAATGAATATGGATCCCTGCCAAGAGCAATCAACATAAATTTTCTCCTAACGACAACAACACACAATCAAGAGAAAATATTTCAAGAATTAATGAAGTTATCAAAAGGTAAAATGCTTTGATCTTTTTATCAAATTCTCTCAACTTATCCTTTACTGAACTGTATGGAGATCAGTCTGAGAATTTGCCAGTGGATATTGGGGATTACAGAGTTAATGAGAGACATTCTTACTGTGAGTGGCCTGCTCTACAATCCCCTGAAGTGGAATTGATGGTGCTGGATCCCACATGATGCTTCGATCACTTGATTCAAAGCTCATGCTGTAATGGGAAGGCTGTAAAAAAAGAAACAGCGAACCAGAGTAAATATAGCATTACAGAAATAAGGAGAAAAATTAATTGGACTTTTGAGAATTACTTCAACGAGACATGGGTCAGTTGATCTTGAAGCAAGACATTACTTTACAACTTAGGTCACATTACATTTCATTGCCAATTTTACTGTTTACAAGTGCATCAGTGTTTTTAAAGCGCTAGTATGCTGCAACAGGAAGAATTTTCATCACTGACTTTCTTTAAATAAAAGTTAGCCTTTGTCGGTTGACAGAGAGTGTCATTGTTTGACGAATGTGAGCAAGTGAGTTCACCTTTAAAACATCATGTTATGTTTTGTACTTACAACTTAAAACATACTGGTAACATTTTATAGAAAATATAACCACAAGGAGAGTTAATATTGTGGTGAGATTATGAGTTGTAGCAACTTTGCATGCTGACTCAAGACCATCACTCCAAAACAAAACTTTTGTCTAATGACAGGCAAAGCTTTGACAGTTTGAAACATATCCTGCCCACTGTGGTAAAAGATAGAGTTTGAAGTTCAATATTATTATTTTGCAATAATTGTTGATGGATCAAAGGAGAAGTGTTAAACCAAAGTTCTCTAGAGGCATTTGCCGGCAAAAGATTTTACATATTTGAATGCTGTCAGTTACAGTGCTGCTTGTGCTTAATTTCCTGGAGTTGTGAAACAACCCTGCCCTTAAAATCCATATCTTACATTCTAAGATCAATTAACCGCCCCTGAATAACAGTTAATTTCATAATTACCCCTAACATTTCAAAATTCTAATGAACAAATAAGAAATATCACTTCTATGTTCATCTAAGACCTATCACCACAAAAAAGAAACCTCTTTCCCATCCATTTTGCACCTGATTTGCTAAATAGGAGTTTTGTCAAAGTTTGAAGGTCATTGCTCATTTTTTCACTTGCACAATCAATAATAAATGCTTTGTTGAAATCATGTCAGTGGTATCAAGTATCATTTGGCTCAGTTTATTTAAAAGGGTTAGAACTTTAAACTACAAGAACAGACAATACACATGCATGTATGGTATACACATGCCACAAACAAGTTACATAACTTAAGACACTTGTCACTAAGCTGATTTAGAGAAAAGCTATGACACTTTGACAAAACAATCCACACATTTTCTACTGTGACCTTTAAGCTAAATTCATATTAGAGAGTCATAAAATCTCCGTCCTTTCCAACCAACTTCCCCAATCAACAAACACTTCCCCAGCCTATGACATCTCAGCATGCTTGCTGAAACAAGAATATCTGAAGCTCATCAAAGATCCACAGACCACTCAGATAAGCAGATCACTCTACCTTTTTCTTACAAATTTTCCACTTAGCCTGACCATCCAACTATATTTTTGACCCAAATTTAAGGATACTTTGAAATGAAAAACACCCTAGTTGCAATTGTGTAGCCTACAATGCATGCAAGTTATTCTTACAATGTGTTACTCAGGAAGATCTAAAGGCTTCTGCCTACAGAACAAAAATTACCTACTTGTATATGTAACTATACTAATAGTAATGTTTTTATTCTACCTGTCTTAGTATTGCAAATGAATATTTATGACCACTTGAAAATTATCCACAAAATGTTCAATATAATGCTCGAAGTGGAAGAAAAAGCTTTAGTTTTACTTAACTAAGCTGCATTAATATTGTTGAATAAAAAAATAGTTCCCTGGCACAATCTGATATAAAACTGAAAAATAAAATTCTCAAAAGATATTAGAAAAGGCCACGATCACAAGTATAGAGCGTGTATAATTTATTGTTTGGAGGCTGTTTTTGTATTGTCTCCTAAAATTCCTAACAAATCCAGTTAAGATGCCAACATTGTACTTTAAACTGTGTTGCAACAAGCCAAGTTCTTTATCTGTTGAAATTGTCTGTCGTTTCATTACCTATCTCAGATCTTTCGTTGATTAGTGAAACAAGACTTTTCGTGTCTTACAAAAGTCTCGACTTGAACAACAGGAAATGACTCAAACCAACGGAAGAACAAAATCATTCGAATTATTCCACAACTTAAGCACCACAGCACGATACGTGAAAATAGCAATGACATGATTTGATCCTGCTCTCACAAAGGACGAAAGAAAAAGTTGGAGAATCAATTTAAAAAAAAAAAACACATACCACCTTGCGATGTTCGATGATGTTTTCATTGCAAAACTAAGTTTTGGCGATCGCATTCCAGAAGGATAATATTCCATTTATGAATATTCATTCGAAAACAGGCATACAATTCGCCAAGCGTTTTCTATTTCGCCAGATAATGGCTTCGTCGCCAAAGTACTAGACATAAAGCTTCGTTCGTCGTTATTTTGTAAAAAATGAACACCGAAAGAAGAAACTTTTCTAACAAGGTGTAGGACATTTCCATTCATTGTACGACATAATGTGACCACACTATTTGAAAACAACAATAAATACATCATAATATACGCGTACACCTTACGGGCAAGAATTATCAGATCGTAGTATATAATGATTAACAAAGCCCACTGAAAAGGCTAACGAAATCAAACCAAGCGAACAGAATTGACCTCGAAATCGCAGAACTAGGACTCTTTACATTCATTGCTAAGCAAACAACAGCGATTGAAAGAATGCATTCCCCGCTGCAAACAGTGAATGATAATAAATAGAAAAATAAGTCCCCCTGTTTCTTTTTTACGATATTGGGGCCGTAAAATTTCGTTTACATTTTTCTGAGACACCTTTTGAAGACAGAGTTGTGTTCTAGAATCTACTTAAGCTGTACAGAAAGAATATAGAAGTGATTAAGAGGTCAGACGACAACCCAAGAGGACCTTAGCAAGGCATTGCGTAAACCTAGCTAGTATTGTACTGTGTTTGTTCTACTACCGAAAGATACTAGGCACACGAAAACTTTTTTCTCCCTGAAATAGAATAAAATTTAAACAAAAATGAAAACTATGACCAAATCGCGAAAAGAAATCGCCGAATGATTCTTTCCAGCAGCGGTAGCGGACTTTGTTCAGCCCGAGTTCAAATCAAAACACTCCGCCATTGAATCTATAATATTCCTCGTCGCTGTAGTCACGTCTCACTCACCTGGGGCAAGGAAAACCAGCTAATTCGTAGTTCTGAGGTTGACGGCTCTATCGGGGCCATAAAATCGTGAAATGCTGTAGGATTTTTTAGCATCGTTGCTGGTAATCCGGCTTGAATGAGATACAATTTCTCTTGGAAGTCCAATTCTGCAATAGAACAACAAATCTTGATTGATTTCTTCTTGTCCACATGGTGCGGGATATTTTTACAGACTTTTCCCCTTTCTCGAAAGAGAAATACTCACTCAGGTAATTCCTCGCATCCTCCTTTGACAGAAACAAGTACAACTGTGCAGAAGTTAAGTCTAAAACGGAGGAAAATACCAAAACGGCAACCAAGTAGGACCACGTTGTGGAGCGACAACACCGCTCGACCGTACACATGTTTACAAGTATTCTAATCTTAAGAGCAGTGCTTCTACTGCAAAACTTCAGCCCTCAGGTGACGTCTCCACTAAATAAACTATGATTTAGCATGCCTTGTAGATAATTCTAACATATCTGCAGGAGTATACGAGCTTTCAATTTCCGTACTAAATTTCAAAACACTGCTTCGATGACGCACTCCTGAATCACCGTGTGATAGTGGTTGCTCCTTGGTGGGGCTTGTGGGTGACGTCACGTGCCCTTAGCCCAATGGCGTTCAGGTATTGATTAGTTATCGATTACTACTCGTGATACAAGAACAAAAGAACCTGTCATCGTTTCGCGCGTCTTTTATGTAAATGAGGCAACTGAGCCAATAATAATCCAATGAATCCTGCATGAACAGGAAAAACAAGTTGTAGAACGGAAGTAGGTTTTAAGTGATGAACATGAACTCCTGCGCAAAAATACATTTGGTCTTCCAATTCTAGCGCGTTCCAAAAAGAAAGGAAGCCGTAAAACGAACTTAATTTTTTATGCTTAGCCTCCTTGGATATACACAATTTTTTTTAAAAACTTTTAATGATGTTGAAAATTACGTTATGAGCTAGATTGCGAGGGCCAATATTGCAGAAGATGATAAGTCACTAATATTGTTACTGTTCAACTCCCTTATTATTTCATGTGATAACTTAAACGATAAAAATCTTGATCACGGCATGCGATAGTCTGGCGTACGCATGTATCCTCGCATGTTGAAGACAGGAAGCTCTTTTTTTCTCCCGAGGAAGAGGTTAAAAGGTTTCACGTGGTTCATTTTGGCTGCAGAAAATCGATAACTGTCATAACTGACTTAGGAAACGAGGAAGTCTGAAAACTGACTGTGTCGAAAGAAAGTTGATTGATTCTGCTGAATCAGTGCAATCATTCAGTTAGTGAATCAGGACACGAGAAGTACGTAATTTTGCCAGTGATTTCCTTGAAATCCCCTGAATAAGGACGGCTTGTCCTTCCGAAATATCGGGAAACCTCAAGTTGTTTTTCTCTTTGCTGACTTTCCTGTTTTGTTATTTGCCTTTTTCTTCAATCGCGGTCGAGCGACTGTACCCCTCGCTGTTTTCCTGCTCACTTCTCTCTGCGCTGTCCCCATGATCCAGGCTACTGTAGCTCGCCCAGCACCCGCATGCGAACGCCACGCCTTGCTAAGGGCAGAGCGCAGGGTAAGATTCGAAGTTGTACCCACAATACTCGCGAGTGCCGCCCGGGAAAGATGATTCACTCGCGACAGGCCTTCGCGCGATTATACCCGAAACTAAACAAGATCATTTATTTTCCTTTCGTGCCATGTAGTTTCTCGTCCTGAAGCTGAAATGAGGCACTTCTTAACTCTCGGGAGGCAGACAAAAATGGAGAAAATCGATATCCAATGGGGGCGGTCGATCCAATACAGAGGGCAGAAAAACCGGAATTTGTCAGCAATCACTCCAATCAAGATCTCTGCATTTAAGTCAAAATACTGTCAAACTGCCCGCTTTACGGACACCCTTAATACGGACACCTCGTTATCACTTCTAGTTTTCTTTGTCCTTCGGACAACCCTTACACATGATTTTCTCTAAATTCAACCCGCTTAACACGTACGGACACCGGTAAATGAGAACTAACGGACAATCAGTTTCTTGGTCTAAACAACAGATTCTCACAGAAAGTTAACCTCGCTTATGCGGACTCTTCATTGTTAACTATGGGCAGCAATAAGCTTTTCCTTTTAGAAGGTAAAAGGAAAACCTTCATGAGTGACAGCATTTAGAAGTTCCCCGCTCTACAGTAACAGGATGAATTGTAGACGTCAATTTTAGACGAAGTAATGCGGAGAACGAGCTCAGATTTTTTCTGAGCTTTCTGGTCTTCGAATTCTACTTCTTCCAAATTTGATTAAGGTAAATTATAGATGGGCCACTTTTGAGAGTTTGCTTAGACGTAGTCCCAGGCAGAATGACGGCCAGTTGCCGTGTGAAGGTTAGAGATGGTTGATTACACGATGCTAATGTTCTGTTTAATTTTTCTACCTTTTTCTTTCAAACAAAGGGTGTATTTTTGACTTTAATAACACTGTTAATACAGGCATTTTCAGTATGAACCTTTCAGTGTCCGTACGTGATTTCGATCTGGTTCCCCGCTCGACTCTTGGCTACAATGTAGCTACGACCTGGAATTCCTAGCGTGTCGCCAACGACCCATCCAATCAAAAGCCCTAGCCCCATCGATCTAAACCACAATACGTGATTTCAAGCAGAACAGGAAATGAGTTTTAAATATCCTTTTGTTAGTAAGGTTAAGGGTGGGCGGATTGAGAGAAGAGCATTTTTGGTAAAAAGCTATAGGGAGTACAGTGGTGGCTCTTTTCTCCAAAACACTTCACTCTTCCTTCCTAATCTTTTTGTTTTGGTTAAATATCTGTCTACAAAATGAAGAGGCGACAATCTAGGATAAGCAAGAAATCAGGTGATGAAATAATATCAGCTATCCCGGCAGAGGAAGCAAGACTTGTAGAAATTAAAGTCCTTTTTTTCATGATTTTGTTTTGCAATACTTGGCCAAGCTTGAGTATTTTGGACCAGGCTAGTCAAGAGAGGCGATCTATACACGAGCCCTCTTGTTCTCCTCCCGTAGACTTTCCCCGTGTAAAACTGAAGTAAACTCAGCAATCGTCCCTTAATCAATCATGATACGGCGAGAGACCAAGTTCGTATGGTTTTGGGGCTAGAAAGCTTGCGGCTATTGTTGACGTGACATGCTGCTTCAGAGAAGATGACAAATTGCTCATACGCAGTTGTTATTGTTGTTGTTTGCTCTAGAGCCAGTTGAAAAATAGAAGTTTTGACCACTTGCCAAAGCCTTTTGACCGGATACTGTTTGATACCACTGATAATGTTTATCATCAGTTACTTTCAAAGCCTCGGCGCGACTTGACCAAGTGGGCTGAATTAAAATTAGTTAAATAGTGTCGTGCCGTTATTAATGAATCTGAGTAGCATTAAAATAAAATCATTTTTTTTACGTTGGGCAAGGAGTTTGCGCAGTAATGGGAGATTGATAATGATTTTGCCTCACTGACTCTAGTGAAGGGTAATAATCGCATAATTAACACTCTTCCGAGGCTCCATACTTCTTCCGGAAAACGACACTTGACACAAATGATTTTATTTCTCAACAGAGAGGTTACCTTCATCTTGGCCGGAGACAGTCATCATGTTTTCGATCTTGCGAGTTAAGAGCTAAAGGCGTGACAATTGTTGGTGACCACCTGCGAGAACTTTTGGAAAAATTACACCACGGCGAGAGGGCCACGCCCCATGATTCAACTGAAGCAGAAAGAAAACAAAAATCGTATAACCATTATGTTGAACCACAAAGACCATTGCCTCTCCATTGAGCCACTTAGCACCCTTAAACTATCCATTTGTCATGTCGCTTGTCGGAATTTTATTCCATAATATTAAACGGGGCCTGGCCTAAATATCGGCTCCTGATGATGACGAATTCGAAGACGGCTCGATGATCATGTGTTCTCTTGGCATGCGAGGCCAGAGTTATTTGTAATTTTAATACTGTACAGACACACTCTTTACCTCCTTTATTGATATAGTTTTCAGAGAAACAAAGAATCCCTAATCTCTTCCTCCTTGAACCCAGACTCTCCGCTTGACTTGATACAACTTTTCATTGTCATTTGAAGTAAAGTTCCTGCAGCCGCCTGGTTCCTGTTCATGAAAATTTTAATTTAGACCATTTTATAGTTTTAGCACAGTGCAACATGCACGAGCTAGAGTTGGTGAGGTACGAAAGTTTACAAGATGTTTCGATTTCTCGTCGTTTTCGAGACATCCGGTAGTTTCTACTCTGAAAAAAGAAGCTTGAACATTTTACCGGAAATAACATTTTCTTCAAAACTTGACAAACAAGAGAGAAATGAGCTTATTCTCTCTTGTTACAAAAGGAAACGTGGCAACGAATTAGACTTTCTTATCCACCGAGAGCAGAGAGAGGCTACGTCAACCGGGTCGTTGAAAAAAAATTTGACCTTGAAGATTCTTTCAAAATGCTGATTCGGTGACCGTTTTATTAGCCTGCGGTGGGAGGCCACGAGTGGACGGAAGGCAAACTCGATAACAAAGAAAATACTGGAGAATTCAGTGTGGATAAGACGATGGACTGAGGTGTACCAGCAAAGTGTTCTGGTGTTTATTTGTATTTCGCACGCTTCTGTCACCTGTTTCGTGTCCTCGTGGAGCAGGTTTGAGGCAGAGAAATGAAACAAGAGAGAAGCAGTCCAAGCAGAATTGAATTAGACTGCAAAACAGTCGGTTTTTTTCTCATTTTTGTTTGACTGCTCGCGCGTACTTGAATACGCAAAAAATACGGACTGTTTTGCAGTCCAGGATTGAATGGGCACTGCACACAGGCTAGGGGTTTCGTTAAATTGGGTAGTTAATTTAACAGGGTTGCTAATATTGTTTTGTTTTTCTTTTCTTGTTTTTCACAGCGACTCCGAGTTTTTTTATTATTTTACTTTCATTAACAATTTCTAAGTATATAACTGATGGTATCATAATACAGACTTGTAACAAGAGCCATTAATTTGGCTCTTGCTTGTAGATAATAAAGAATAAAAGGTACAGACGGTGGAAGCCGGCGTGGAGGGCGTCGAGACGGGGTAGGGAATAATAAGGAAGGGAAAAGGGGAGAGGATTGAGATAAGATTGGAATTGGGATGTCAAATGTAGCTGCCTTTTCCCTGGGGTTGATTTCTTGGGGACCGCTCTCAACTACAAGAAAGAGAAAGAAAAATTCGTCGTCGCTTGTTTACGGTCCTCCATAAACGTGAAATTTGGATTATTTACGTCGTAGTCGTGCAGTCGGCGATGGCAAAGAAATGTACAAAAATGAGTGATACTCGTGCAAAATTGTTGTTTTCGTTACTTTTTTGACCTTCTCGTTGCCGTCGCCGTTGTCGTTGCTAAAGCTCCTTTATGACATAGTTAGTAGAGGAGACTGGTTAGGAAAGCCAGCAAACATCAAAGTTGAAAACAACGGTGCTGTAGGTTATGTTGGAAGCTCCCTGACCGTGATCAAACCTTTGTTTTTTGTTCACAAATTGTGACTGAATTATAATGCAATGTTTCTATTGGTCAGTAAGTTCAAAATGATAGGAATGCTATTGAACATTGTGCACGATCAGGTCCAAAAAAGCTAGCAAAAACATATAACAAAGGGTTTCTCAACGATTCCACTTTAATTAACTATGCTTATGACGACAGGGACTCAAAAACTTGTCTCTCTCCTGTTGAAAGAACTTCACCCCTTTCCCCCCGGGGGCGGGGGGGGGGTCGCTTAGAGTTTGAAAACCTGAACCTGTTTAGGACGACAGAAAATTCCTAAAATAGATACCCTGTTTAGGACAACACCCTCAAATTTATTACCCTGCCAGTAGGACAAAGACAAAATCCACGCCATTTTGTTCAAAGCCATTTATATATTGGCAATTGCGTGCAATAGAGAAAAATTTACGTTATAGTCATTGCTTTATCATAGTGACAGGAGCCCATAACTCCTGCTTTAGTATACTCAGGAGTACAAACGAAACTAATTTAGCAAATCAAATTTATTGTGCTGGCAATACCCTGTTAACTCTCATGAAATAGGACAGACTCACACGAAATTAGATGATTACCCATGTTTATATAGGGAGTACATCCTTCTCCCAGCCCCGGGCCTCACTTCCGATTTTTGGCGCCCTCGTGACCGAGCCGTAAATAACCGGTCTTCGTCAGTCTTCGTCGGGTCATCGATTATTCCTCGGGTAATAACACCTCGAATGACAGCTTAGTGAAGCATGGTACATCGAAGGTTGGAGATGAGCGCGTTTGAGGATCGGTCCTGCTTCAATTAACCTAATTGTTGAAGCTTGTGAACCTCTCATCCTTGCAAAACAACATGTCCTTGAGGAGGAATGCAAGTAAATACGGCGTCTCATCGACGCATGCTGATGAAGATACCCTGCCTACACAGACGCAAACGAGCTTCTTCCAAAAGGGCCGTGAATTCGAAAGTCGCTATGTAAATCATCATTACACGGAAGAGGAGAGAGAAAAGCTTGGAACTTTCGAGAGTGTGGACTATCTGCCGCCGCACAGTGCTGTTTACAAGGTCTGTCGACTATTCATAAAGTAAATCTTGCTGCACCCACGGACCTAATAAGGTCCTGGCTTAAATTATTATATTAAATTAAAATTAAAATTGACCCAGGACTGTCATTGGCTGTGGTCACACTTGGGCTTTTTTTACTATAGTAAAGTCGAGTTTACTACTGTAAACACGTTTTCTAATGTGACCGGCTTTTCTCATTTTACTATGGTAAACATAGACCTAGTGTGTTGCGGTGATAACGGCGGTAGAATGAAAGCAAAGTTTACTATAGTAAACTTTCCTAAAACGATATGGTTTATCGCTGGTATATCTAAACTTTGTTTATTCAGTTGACATCTAGTCGCATTATTTGAGATGCGTTCCCTGAGTAGGCAAGTCCACAGTAAATTCTGGATTTCAAGGAATCATACGCCTACATCTAATGTTCGTGTTTCATTTCTGAGTCGAGCATAAATTTAGAAGTAAATCATTCAATTCAAGTGTTTTTTTATTCCGTGTAGCCACATTTTTTCTATCTATTGTCTGAATATGGATTTTGGTTGGCACACTTTTTTTAACAAACCTTCATGTCCTTTTCACTTTAGAGTTCCACCGTTCCTGAATAGTTTCGTAATCCCACCAGGCAGTTTTTCAGACGAACACGGCCGCGGAGTAATTCAGCATGGGCCGCTTATATTTGGCCGAGAAAATAATGGGATAGAAACAGTATAAGCAGCGGCACAATTTTCAGTGAATGTATGATGTGCAGACAATCACGTAACTGGATAAAAAATAAAACATTCATGGAATGTCGTAAGAATTATCACCTGCTCTCAGGCTCATCATTTGAGTGACACATTTCTGTTGGTAAAAACAAGATTTCTGGAACGTGTTAAGTCAACTAATTAGTTTTACTATAGTAAAGTTTTTTTACATTCTTTTTACCACAGTTAAAGCCTTTTACCAACGTCAAATCCCAAGTGTGACCACAGCCATTATGACGCTTAATTGAGATCATTTCTGGCTTGTGGGCTACTATTTATTTTAGGGTTTGCCTACTTAAGAAACTTTTTCCCGTGAAACGTTACCCTGTACCATTGAGGAGAGTGGCTAAGGGGGGCTCTTGGTGCCATTTCACGCACAAATTTTGACAAATTTCACGTATCACGGCGGTTATAAACCGATTTTCATGAGTCATGAATGTCACCTGTTAATCAAAGGGGCTAAGAACCAAAAAACATTCATCATGGATTCCAATTTGTATTTTATTTGATGATCGCAGTTTCTCCCCGCTTCCCCTCTCATTATCGATGTTAGTGGGGCAATCTCAGAGGGCGTAAAAGAGCAGTCGCGGATGTGGGAAACTCGTGTTTCCAGGCATGAAAACACATCAATGCCCCCGATGCTATTTCTTTTATCCCCTAGTGACTCAAGCCTGTGTAGCAGGCGCAGGTTAGCTTTACTCCTTTTCTCCCCTCGAGCGAGCGTGCGCATGTCCTCGAAATTTCTCTCTTCGCTTCGCCCTGACAAAACTGGTGCCTTCTGTGCAGGCTTCAGTGACTGTCACCTCCGGAGCCTTTCGTTAGTGCAATTCTTTCAGTTTAACATGAAAACAAAGCAACACGAGAATTGCTGAAGGAGACAAATTAATCCCAAGGGTCACAGTCACCTGTATTTTTAGGGTCTGGTCCTTAGGTAGTAATTATTAACCAAGAAAAAAAAGTAACGCAAAGAATGAAACCAACAGCCCTGTTCAATCTATCTGTCCTTTCTTACTGATTTTCACAAAATGTGACAAGTAATTTACGAGTCCTGCACATCTTATAAGACAAATCATGCTTCTCATGCATAACTGGTTTCACGGATCACGTTCCTATCTTGGGAACTTTCACGCGTCACACACTAGATTTGGGCCTAATCACACGTCATGCATAAACCCTTTGCTACCCTCATTGAGAAACAGGTACCATTCTTTTAATTTAGAAACAATATATTTGGGGCGAGAGGAGGGGTAATGAAGGGAGGAAATATAAAGTTAACAAGACACCGCAAATGCTCAAATTGGCGGCCCCTTCAAATGAGCGCCCTCTTCGAATTAGTGTTTCATAATCTTTCTGTCTTTTCTTCTTTTATTTAACCATGTTTGTGTCACTATTCGACAAAATTACAAAATCACTATTATAAAGCTAGGGGCTAGATTTGTTACTAGCACAAAGTGTTGCCATTTTATTTAACGAGTATCCAAAAGTATAAGATGTAATTCCACACATTTACAACTTACAGTAACATTTTTTGTTAATGCTTTATTTTAGAACTGGCTAAAACAGCAGCCATCACGGCTGGACTGGGATCGCTGGGTTATGATGGGAATGATTGGCTTCTCTGTTGGATTCATTGGGTTTCTGATGCATCAACTGATTGATGTCATATCAGAGTAAGAACAGAGGCTATACAGATTTTTTCTACATTACAGTTTACTTAAATTTGTCTCAATCTTATAGCTTTCCTTCTCTGAACAACTCACCTTTTTTATCAGCACAGAAGCTGTCCAGTGGGAACTCCCATATAAAAGTGATTTGGATGCTTGTTGGAAGCTTAAAATAAACTATTAAACCCCTAAGGGAGACCAATGTGGGTGTGGCTCAAGCTTAAACTGACCCATAATGGAGACCATGCTAAAACAAACATCTAAATAAGAGCTAAGAGAAAGAGGAAAATAAGAGGGACATCATGTTCTTTTTTTAACTTAAGATCTCTGTGTGGTCAGTGTCACAACACTTTTTCTTTATGCACAACCCTAAGCAATACCCGAATGGGAAAATATAGTGACTTTCTGTCCCAAACACCCTAATAAGTGAGACCAAAATCTACAATTTATTTACATGTACACCCTGCCTAAGCAAGATGACGAGCATCACCGCCACTTTTATATGGGAGTCCATCCCCCCTACCCCCCAGGAGTATCTTGCAAGGGATCAATTTCTCAACTTTGTATAATCTTTTCTAGGGACCAAAAAACTGTTACTTGCAATTGTTTTTTCTGTTTACATTTAAGGTCAATAAATTATTGAAGTTGTAGAAGTTTTAAAGGCAAATACAATTGAACTATTAAAAACAAAACAAAATGGAATGGTTTGTGAGCTATGACCCTAACTAATTTTCTTTCGGTCTGAAAAATTATCAGGACTATTGAGAAGCAGGACCCAAATCATGATTATCTTTCTGCGTTTTCTATAGAGGTTCAAGGCTGCCCTCTAAGAAAAATTGAAGGGAGCCCAGTGCTCTGAGCCCGTGAAATCGAGGGTGCCCAGCAATAATATGATTTTTCTGAAAACGCCTGTCACCCAAGAGCATTAGTAAGGTGCCAGGGCCTGCTGGTTGCTGCTAGAGCAATTACAAAACAATATTTTATTCAGTTAGTGCAGAAACATTGTTCCTTTTTCAACAGAGTGAAGTGGGATAAAGCTTCTGAGTTTATAAAGGTACCGTTAAGAGCTAACTTGTTTATAATGTTTTTCTTAATAAATATAAATAACTGACATCTAAGCTGTCCTTGGGATGAGTGAAGAGCACATAGTAAGTTAGCCCTGGCACAAGGTGGTGGCATTCGTTGGAGTGGAAGAGGTGGTTGGCAGGTGGAATGTAACACTAGCAGAACAAAGGGATCCACTAACCGGATGCTATCCCATATAACAACAACAAAAAAGAGAACACAAAAGTATAAACATACGGCTATTCCTGTACTGGGAAACTTCAACTATCCTGCTGTATGTGGGTTGAACAATGTCCTTAAATTCTTTTTAAGTACCAACTACTTCTACACCTAAATAGTGGTGCCATTATGAGGTTCCCTACAGCTAACTGAACTGTGACCCTTGACCGTAGCTAAACGTGACTCTCTGGTACTATGTACATTCTTTATTTCACAACTACATCTTGAAGTGGAGTAAAGTTTTGTGTTGACCAAAGGAGTGAATACAATCAAATTTTCTGAACCAGACACCTGGATTTAACAGCAATCACAGGGAGCCTTAGTGAATCTGTAGTATTGTGTTACATTCCTGTTCTATTCTTAACTTTTAACTGCTTTATCTTTTTTTAGGATAGGGACTTTGGCTTGGCTTGGGTATGGGTCATTGGATATAGTGTTCTTTTTGTCTTGGCAAGTTCTATTCCAGTTGTGGTAAGTACCAACTTGTTTGTCTAAATTTCTAATTTTGACTCCATTTAACAAGTTGGACAATAAGAAGATTTTTAAAACCCCTGAATGATCCCTTAATTCAGAAAATCAGTACAAGTGCAAGACTAATGCATGACGACACAAACATTATTTCATAAGTTATGGTCAGATCAGTTTTATTCATAATGTTATCAATTAAAATAGACAGTATAGATTTGCTACAAACCCAATTGTTTCAGAAATTTATTTCTCAAGTAATTAAGAATTTCCCAAAATAAAAATTATGGGAGTCTATCAAGCGAGACCTGAGCTTTCAGAAAATTGATATCCAAGGTGTCAATTTTCACATCTAAGGTGTGTTTTCTGACTTACGTCACAGGCTCAAAAAATCCAGAATTGCATATTTATTGCTTTCCCGGGATTAGAAAATAAATTGGAACTGATCGACTTATGCTTAGATTGTTAATTTACCTTAAATTTCCGGCATTGTTTGTCCATTTTTCCTTGAGATACACCTGTATGGAGGTGGAATTTTTTTGTAATGCTCTTTGACTTCAGGCCGTGGCTTTCCCTTTAACATTGTGTGAGTAAACCTGGCATTTCTTCCAGTGCGGTATTATAAATCCTCTTCTTTTTAAGTCAATTTGTTATTGCAGTGCAGTCTAACACAGCCACAAAATCACACTTAATTTGTCCTTAATTTTTGTCACACCACATAATTAAGATTCATATTAATAATGCCCAGGATTTGTTTTCAGTACAGTTTGCAATCCTGGACATATCTCTTCAAATTACCGTAGGTAACAAAAAAGTAATACATTGTGTTATTTGATTGTCGTTTTTTAGTATTTCCGTCCTTCTGCTGGAGGGTCAGGTATACCTGAATTAATTGGGTTCTTGAATGGTACAGTGGTGAGACATATTTTCAACTTCAAGACAATGCTTGTCAAGTTCTTCTCTTGTGTATGTGCAGTTGGTGCAGGCCTTCCTATTGGTCCGGAAGGCCCTATGATTCATTTGGGGTATGTAAATCAAAGAAATCTAGGACAGCTACATTGTGTGTAATCCAAAAATTAACATTCCACAAATTCAACCAGTTAAGTAATATTATAGAAATATTGAATGGTACAGCTAAAAGAATTGGGTTTTGTCTCTGACAGTGTGTCTCTGTAATTTGTGTTTCTTTTTATCCAAGAATTAATAATGTTTTGCTGTATGGTCCTTAATTTTCAAACAATAATGTCTCAGCATCCGGGGAAGCTTTAGATATTACCATTTGCCATCCCTAAAACTGTAACCTCCTTGTTATTTGTAGACTGTTCACAGTCCCCTATTTTTTTGTGAGATCGTTGAGATATAGCGCGCCTTTAATGACAGCCATCTTGGTTTTCAAATGTACCGAGGGGGCGGGTGTCGGGGATTATAGCTCTAGGGGCAGGTGGGCAAGAAAAATAGAGAAACTGTAATAACATCAATGCAGTTTGCGTTCACGGAGCGCGTTGTACCAGCAACGCAGGCGTTTGATTGGTCATAAGACAATAGATGTTAATTTGCGTTGACAACGGGTTTAGTTTAAGTTGCCGACACTGACAAGTCATTGACAAGTCGTCGTTTCTATAAAATGCACGCTTTCACACCATAAGGTTCAAATTGTGCAAACACACGAACAATTTTTGGTATTTTGCGGATGAATCACGTAAGCCAACATGCTTTGGAAGCAGCCTGGCCGTGGGAATGTTGTAACACAGTTTCTGCCAAATGAATTGAAATTTCATGCAACGCCGACGCAAAAAAGATGACCTGTCAGAAATGCCTGGCTTTTTATCGGGACGTTTTAACCATTTTAGTCTATGGTCAAGTGAGCATGCTTAGCGATTCGATTAGGAAAATGTTTCTCTTGTGCCTGTTTGCCGATTTTATTTGTAGGAATGGCCTAGAAACATTATAAAATCACTGTTTCAAAAGGGGATATTTGTAAACACGCGTAATCGATGCTAAATGTGTCTGGCATGTTTTTCATTGCCAGCGGAGTTTCTTAATTAATGAATGGTAAAAGGCGTGAAATTCCTGTCACGCCTCCTGAACGCGAGCTGCAGTGATGTTATTACAGTCCCTCTATTTTTCTTGCTTCCTTCCAAACTGCCCCCTGCCCCCTAAGTAGTTTTGACACTCATGCAAGATGCAGCCTGAAACGCAAAGCGCTTGATCTCGACGATCTTACGGAAAAGTAGTTTTGACACTCACACAAGATGCAGCGCGAAATGCAAAGTGCTCGATCTCAACGATCTTACGGAAAAATAGAGGACTGTGAACAGTCTATGTTATGTTCTATTAAACCTTAACACCCCACTGTTTCAAATAAAAGCAAATGTAGCTACGCAGATGTCTAAGCAGTTCCAACACTGGGCCTGCATCCTTTCCTTAAATCTGTTTTTATTGACACCAATAATTACTCTTCAAGTACTTACATGTATTGTGTAACCCATGGAGATATTTTCTTTTATTTAAACCATCTCATACATCTGGCATTTTCATATGGGTGTATCATGACTCACTCACAGTTTATGTTTGTTTGCAGGAGTTTGGTTGGTGCAGGCCTGAGCCAGTTCAAATCACACACCCTTAAATTTCAATTGCCATTCTTTGAAAGATTTCGGAACACAGAAGATAGGTAGGGAACTACTGCACACCTTCGAATTATTATAAAATTTTTGTCATTTGATGCAAATTTTTCTTCCTTTTCATCGGCCAAGAGCCCACCATGTGACCTGCAAATAAATGCCAACAAACAAAGGTCTGCTCATGCTTGATGTTGTCCATCAGTGTTTGGCTGCAAGTGATACTGAGGCGGGCGTAAGGGGGGTACGAATACCGCAATACCGCACATGGTAGCGCGAGCATACCACAATACCGCATCAAAATTTAGCCAAATGCCGAAACCGCAATTACAAATGGGGAAAAGTTGACGTTGTCAATACTACAAATCCCCCTTTCAAACAGAAATAATACTTTTATATCAGTGTTTCCAAATCAAGGTGCGTTGAAGTCAAGCATGCGATAAACATAAGATCATCGCACTCGTTTAATTTTGTTTACATAAATGATACTTGGGTTAATTTTCGCTGGGTATGTGCCGCTGGCTTCTCAGAGCCCCCACCCCATTATAGTCTATTCTGTGGCCAATTATAGACCCCATCTTAGTCACTTTTGGACAAATATTTAATTTTCCGATCCCAGCTTAGTCGCTTTCTATTTTTATGAACTGATCATTTTTTTTAGATTGAATGAAGAACACTTAACTTTTCATCTACAGTACAAACATTCTGGTACATTTGCTAACCGTAAATATGAAGAATTGTCCTACCCCCAAAAATCAGAAAATGCGCGACCCCATTCTAGTACCTCTCTTGAAAATGCAACCCCATTCTAGTCACTCCACTTGTGAAAATACGGCCCCATCCAACGGCACATCCCCATTAGCCTCTTATAAGGAAGTAACCCCCCCCCACCCCCTCCCTGGCTGCCATGCTACGTATGCTAAACACACGAATACTTGTACATCTCCACTTGTGAAAATACGGCCCCATCCAACGGCACATCCCCATTAGCCTCTTATAAGGAAGTAACCCCCCCCCCACCCCCTCCCTGGCTGCCATGCTACGTATGCTAAACACACGAATACTTGTACATTCTATATTCCTGCATGCACAACGAGAAGGACGAGTAGTAATCATTAGACCACACCATCTTCACATATTATCTTTCGACACTACGAAATTTATAACGACCTCACTGACCTCACTATTTGCTGGAATATCTGACTGATCACTTAGTTGACCCTCTGGATTGCTTGCCATTGTTTCGCGACTGGCACGAAAGTGGCGGTAAGATTGGTAGGGAGGTTAACCAAGCTGACTATTCCCACAAGGTCCACGGGGTCATAAATAATGCGACGTGTTTATGATAAAAAAGTTAATGTCGTTAATCATATCAAGTATTAATTGAAATTACAAGCCATACGATTTGTCTGGACTGTTTGCGCAATATACGATCCCGGACTGTGCACCTATAGGAAGACACGCAGGTCACGCCGGCTAGTATTTGTATCCTCTTACATTTAAGTCATGAAAAAGAAGCAGATCACCGTGACACAACGATTTTTCCACCGACTACCGCGATGTAAAATTTAAACTCACCGCACACCGCTTGGGCTCTGAAAACCGCAATACCGTACTTTGAAATAAAAATTACCGCAAAACCACACCAAAAAAACCCCAATACCACAATACCGCAAACCCTTACGCCACCCTCGATACTCTGCTCATGTGTATAATGAAACCATGCATTTCTCCTTCTTGGGATCGCTCTTGTGTGAAAATGACAGATCACTTAGATTTTGATTAAAACAAACTCAGTGATCGAATGATAAAACAATTATTGAACTTGGTTATTGCAAAATTTCCTGACGTGTCAGTGATGAGCAGATAAATTAGCCAAAGGCTGAGGCAAATAATTTTATTGATCTGCAAGACAAGTTTAAAAAGTCTGAAAGATTATTTCTTGTGTACAAGAGAATAATGAAATTTAAAGGTTGTGGCTGAAAGTAAGTTTTAGTGATGTTAAGTGTAGAAAATCCCTTTCACCAGGCGTAACTTTATTTCTGCTGGTGCCGCAGCGGGTGTGGCCTCAGCGTTTGGGGCTCCTGTTGGTGGTCTGCTCTTTTCTATGGAAGAGGTGTCTTCTTTTTGGAACATGAAATTATCCTGGCAAACATTCTTTGCCTGCATGGTGTCAACATTCACTACAGTNCGTAACTTTATTTCTGCTGGTGCCGCAGCGGGTGTGGCCTCAGCGTTTGGGGCTCCTGTTGGTGGTCTGCTCTTTTCTATGGAAGAGGTGTCTTCTTTTTGGAACATGAAATTATCCTGGCAAACATTCTTTGCCTGCATGGTGTCAACATTCACTACAGTAAGTATGATAAATTTACAAAAATGTTATTTTCTTTCATGCATTAGAAGGCAGCATGACACATAGTTGCTTGTCACCTCTGTTGGTTGGAAAAGTTTCTTATAGCAAGCTTAGGTTTACCGTAAATGATTTAATAGATACCCGGGAAGCTCTCCTAAGGACACTCTTGTAAGTGGACAGCTCTACTTACGGCTGCCTTCACAAATCCCTTTCTCAATTCCCATACAAGCCCGTGGAGGAGGCAGGTCACTTGACGCAGTTAGTCACGATCTTGTTACAAACATTTTCCTCAAACATAGAAACTGTGGTAACATGCCCTCACGAGATCTGTTTTTTATTATCAAAATGCTATTTTTAGAAAGATATAAATATAGCTAATAGAAAACAAATCTATTGGAAAAACAAGGTACACTGAGTAAAACAAACTAGTAAATAATTTTAATTTTCCCTTTGGAAAATATGTAGATTCCTTTTTTTTCTCCTTTTAAATTATGGTTACTGGAGTAAAGACTATTCATCACCAGTAAGCTCGTGTCCTCTCAGAGGACTATTTTTTGCTATTTTTTGGAGTATTTGAGACAGTGCGTCAATTACTAGATAATTTACGGTAGTGAACATAATTTTGTGCTCAAAGATAGGGAGACACAGAGTGAAGCAAACTTTATTAAGTAAAAACAAAAACTACCTTTAAATTGTTGGTCATGACTCTGAAAGAGTGAAATATTAAATTAAATGTCTTATTTAATTTTGCTCTTTTAAGGATTTGTTTAATTCAGCTTTTGATGGATTCAAGTATCAAGGAGACTTTGGATTGTTCAAAGCCGAAAAAAACATTTTGTTTCAGGCAAGTATCTCCATAAAATATTTTTTCAAACATTTAATATAGCCATAACATGACTGTATTAGTGTTGTGTATTTTTATGTACAAGTTCAAACAGGAGCACATTTTTCTTCTCATTCAGTATTTAATTTAATTTAAAACTTGATAGAATTAGAAAAACCCATTGATTTCAAGTTGATTTAAATTCCATCCTCCACTGCATACTGCCTTTATAATGTTAGGATGTTCAGTGCTAGTTTGATTTTTTTTAGTGCTAGCTCTTATTTTAAAAATATGGAAGATGCTTTAAAATACAGAATTTGAATATGAATGTTTGTCCCTTAAAATTCAAGCAAAAAACTCCCATAATAAGCCACTTTGAATATAAGCCCTGATTGAGCCTTGAAAACAATAAGCCCAGGGGCTTATCTGCAGAATTTCATGTATTCACATAAAAAAAATTCATCTTCTAGTTTGGCATAGGCAAATCTAAAAAACATATAAACAAGGGCCATGGCAATGTCTTTTGTCTGCTTCTCAAATGTTAGGTCCTTTTGATTAACAAGCCCCTTAACCCTTTAAGCCCCAATATCCAGAAACAAATTCTCCCAACTGATCTCTATACATTTCCTTAAAGAATTTGTTCAGAGAATTTGATGAGAGATCAAAGCATTTCCTTTTTGGTGATCATTTTATTAATTCTCATAACCTAATCTCTTGACAATGTATTGGTATCATTAGGAGAATATTGATGTCGGTCACCATTGGGACTTAATATGGTGGTGTATTTACATAAAAAAGATATTAAAAAATTATCCTAGTCCAGCATACGCAAAACTAGAAAACACAAAAACAAGGCCCACAGGAAATTTATTGGTGATGATGTGCCTTTTGTTTGCATCTGAATCTGAGGCAGAATTTGCTGTGTGATCTGTAGTTTTACACATCCACATCCCTCTAATGGCCCCCAGCTTAGTACACACCAAGCTGATATATTTGTTTCACTGCAGATTAGTCATGGCATTGGCTTAAATATTCTGGCATTCATACCTACAGTTATTATTGGCATTATTGGTGGACTGTTGGGTGCTGTGTTTACATTTATTAATTTGAAGGTACAATATGTATGTATGATAATGAATGGATATGTTGTGGTTCAATTTTATCCTTGGTTTAAATTTTGTTGTCTTTCGTTTTGGGGTGTGGTAATGTATGATAATGAGGTGATAATGAGTTTGAAACACAGGGTAAAATTGAACCACAACATATAACTGCTTGAAAAAAATGTTTTGCTTTGAAAGTATCAACCAACTAAAGCTTCAAGGTATACTTTCATTAGCACTTGGCAAATACAGTAGAAAGTTCTTTCAACATTGTCACGAGCTGCTCGTGCAGATGCAAATCCCTAGAGTATTTTGTTTAAGGCATGCTGATGTCTTTTTATGTCTTCTAAGAAAGCTTTTAGGTCCTATCTTATGATTTCAAGGGTGCGTTAGTAATGTGGCTACGCTCTTTAACTGTAGAGATCTCTGATGTGCCAGGCTGCACAGGTGAAGTTGTGGGCTTACTGCTTTGAAAACTGGAATCCATTTGATCTTTTTGGAATCCATCGTCGTGAAAAGCTTCGATAATGTACACTATTCTGGAAAGTAACTTTAAATTTGCAATGCTAATAAAGTTCTGTAATAAATTCATTAGGTCCTATTGATCATGGCTTTTTATACCTTTTAAAGCAACAGTGTTTCTTCAATCAGGTGTATATAACATGCTTGAAGTTTACAGTGGTTGACATTACCTTTATTTGAATCAGTGATTGGTTTTTATCAGTTCAGCATGTCCGCATGAGTTGATTGTCTTGATTGTTCTTGAAGATTGCAAGGTTTAGACGATCACAAATTAGCAAAATAAAATCCAAGCAGTGGAAGAACATAGCCAAGATATCTGAACCAGTTCTTATAATGGTATGTGCTTAATATAAATCCTGCATTAAAATAATTTTTGCTAAAATATATAAACTTTTAATCAGCACGTCAATCCAAAGAGTATGCTGCTTCTCCTCTTTCTTTCTATGGATTTCACTCATGAGGAAGAGTGGGAGGCATCTGAAAAAGTCTCTTAGGTGCTACACCAAATTCAATGGAGAATTTCTAAGTATTCTCTCTAGTGAAAATTGTGCATTGTATCAGCATAGAAAGTGGTCTTTTTCAAGTTCAAATAAGAAACCCATTAGTGCAGGCTAGAAAAAAGGGTTTTTGAGTTTTATGTTTGTACTAGACAATCTCCGAGGGTTAGGTACAACTTACTGCTCGTACTGTGTACGCCACAGCTCTGCGTGCATTAAGCACGGATAAACTTAAGTAATCCCAGATTGTTTATTGTGTTTGCAGGTTATAACCGGTACAGCCTCTGTATTTTTGCCTGCTGCATTCCCTTGTACCTTGTTTCAGTGCAGTTTTACATCTGAAGGGTTCAGGTAATGGTACTACCTTAATTTTTCCACATAGAGTCAGTGCATTCTAGATCTCAACCATTTAAATAAAATTACTAGGAACAGACATGATGTAACAGTTATCTACGTCAATTTTAAGGCTGTTTTTTTTTCTTTTGGCTTAATTTTGTCTGGATTTTTGCATGTGACCGTAAATCCAGACTGTCAGGAGACCATCAGATTGACATGATAGATTGCTGCTTTATAACGGATTTTCTGAATTTCTAACACCCCAACCCTCGTTCTAACCAGCAATTTGCATCGACAACCTGTTGAACTTAATGCTTGCATGCCTTCAACAGGCACATGAGAAAATAGAGGTCTGCAAACATTCTACCTTAAATTTTCTTGGAGGGACCCTTTTCAGAGGTTTTTGTCCCTATTCTTTCTGCTTGTTTGTCAGAAAAGTGAGGCCAGAAATTAGAGTGCAGAAGAAACAAATGAAGTGCTTGGTTAAGGAAACGATAGCAGAGTCACCACCAGGCCTCTATTGACTCTCTCTGCTTGTCACTGCCTGAGGAAACATCGTTCTCTTTAATTTTAGAGCGGTTTTCATTTGAGTGTCGAAAAGTAATTGGTTTTGCACTTTCTACACGATGCGATTGGCTTAAAAGATTCGCGCCACCTTTTCATCCAATCAGAAGTAAAACCAAAGCCAATTGTGACGCACTCGCATGCATTTTCCCGCGCTTTGCGTCAGCCACATGTAATTACTTCGAGTTTTGATTGGTTCAATGTATTGTCTGTGTCCTATGTGATTGGCCAGAGTAATTACTTTGGTTTTGGTTTTACGACACTCAAACGAAAACCACTCTATTAACAAGGCTGACATTTCACAACGCCTCCACTGGTTTCTCCGTGAAATGACGTCTGAGAAACAAGTGCAGAAATTGTATACTGATGACGTCACTATCTAGATCTGGGTAGTACTTTTGATTGGCCATCCCCGCATGGGAAATTTGCTTCAGCCAATCAGAAGCTCTACCCAGATCTCCAGTGTGGAATATCTGCACTGCTCTCTGAGAGGTCATTTTGCTGGGAAACCAGTAGTGGTATCGCGAATGTCGGCTGTGTTTTTCAGGCTAGTCACCAGGTTTAAAATTCATCTTCACATTCATATCATTGTGAACTTGCCACCTTAGTAACAGAACATCTAGGCTAGAAACCAGGAGGTTATCAAGGATCCGACTCCAACTGGGAGAACTAAACTTCAGCTTCAACTTTATTTATTAAAAATGGTATTACAATAGGCTGGCCCGCAAAAAAGCAATTACTAATCTAGGCGCACCAGTTAAAAGAAAAAATATAATGAAGGGAAACGAAGGAAACTATTTTAAGTTACAGTAATTCTTATTTCTATCATAGTTTTATTTTAATTGCCATTACATCTAAGGAAAAACGAAAAAGGAATTGACGGAGAGCGGAAACCTTATAAATTTTATACAGAAATTACTTAACTGTCAATCCAACTTTTTAAAGTATCAATGGCGTCTCAATATAGTCCTTTTCTCTTTTTAAGATATCGTAAAGCAATCCGTGAGGTACTTTCGCAAATTCCTTTTTCGGAGCACTCTAATACCACAAGGTATCTCATTCCAAAGTTTTACGCTAAAGCGAGACAAGGAGTTTTGTGAAATTTTGATTTTCTTTCTGATTCCTCTGTGTCACTGACTGAAAAAAGATCAGGCATTTTCAAATCCACGACTTATCATCATTGACCTGGGCTAAACTATCTAGGCAAATGTGTACCCTTAAAAGTCCTTTGCTAATGCCCCATCTCTTGTAAGTAATATTGTCTAAGGAATGTGATGTTCTATCCTAGTGAAAAGTGTTTGACAAGCAGTCAGCATCCTTTGCACACTGAGAGAGACGTCAAGAACTACACCTGTCCTGTAGGAATCACTAGAGTCATTAATGGAACAGAGTTTACCAACTCTTCCTTTAATGAAGGTAACTGGTGGTGGTGGTGGTGGGGGTGGTGGGTTGGGAGGGGGGGGGGGTGTAAGGAAAAGGCAAAAGTAGAAAGTGAGGGGTGGGGTGGGGGTAATAAATTTGGTTATGAGTGAAAACATTTTGGGAACAGTCTTTCAAAATTATAAAAAGAGGGTCGCAATAGGATCACATGAACCCTTGACGTTCCCGTTTTTGTCGCGGCCATCGTCGCTTATTATACTTGTCTAAATCATATTCACGAGAGAAATCCGATGTCCGACCACAGCAAACGAGACAAAGACGATGACTGTCCACGACACGAAGAATTCTTAATAACAAGTATACGTTGGTCCGCTGTGCGTTAAAATGGGTGGGGGTGGGGGGGGGGGTGGCGGGTGGGGGTGGGGGGGGGGGGGGGGGGGGTGTAAGGAAAAGGCAAAAGTAGAAAGTGAGGAGTGGGGTGGGGGTAATAAATTTGGTTATGAGTGAAAACATTTTGGGCACAGTCTTTCAAAATTATAAAAAGAGGGTCGCAATAGGATCACATGAACCCTTGACGTTCTCGTTGTTGTCGCGGCCATCGTCGCTATAGCTCCCTATTTTAACGCGGCGATTCCAGACGTTAAAAGTTGCCTCTGATAAAAGGTTTATGTGCAACGGGGCCCTGCCTTAAAACACTTTACGTTAAATGGACGTATCAAGGTTCTGTTCAAATCGTTTTGGGGGCAAATAAGCGGTACATTTGCGTTGAAGAATCTAAAACAGGAATCGGACTGAGAAAAAGACCAAATGCAAAAAGGAAGGGTAACTCTCAGACATTGATGCCACTTTTTCATTCCCCACCCGACTGCTCTAGTTACTAGTGGTAGCTCATGGACGCCAATCGTAGATTCTAATCATTGTGGGATGTATTTCTTTTCTTTTCTTTTCCTTTAGTTGCCACATTGTTATTTGTAACTGGAGAAAAAGCCATTCATCACTTGTTTTCCAGGGATACACCTTATGAGCTGGGATATGCGTATGTAGCAATGATAATTTGTCTTAACGCAACCTTAGAGAAGACAATTATAAGTGGCCTCCAAACTCTCAAACTTGTAAGATTTTGCAAAAAATAATTCTCCTAACGTCTAAGCTTTATAGAGCAATTATCTCTCTAGCTATAGCTGAACATAAGCTCTTCTCTTTTACCTCATTTTGTAGTTGTTGTTTTTTTCGAAAACTTGAAAAACTTTTGAAAATAATTTCTCCCGAAATTATAAGTAACTTGACAGCTATTGTTCTCTTTTCGAGCAGTTAAACTACTATCATTGTGAAGTTCCAATTAATTCTCACGATTTAATTTGGAATGTGCTATTGAACATTTAGTAATAAGTGGTTTTCCTGAGAGTGAACTTTACTATTGTGTCTGATGAAAGAAAGACAAATCTCATATTACTGTTTTTAAAAATTCTGTAAAACAAATGACACCATGTTAAAGTTCTGTTAAACAGATTTCATTTGCATAGTCTCAGTCGATACCATGATTTTTTTTGTCACTTACTAAAAAGGTGTATTTATATGACATATTTTGATCATTAATTCTGTGCTTGAAGTTTTTAATAATAAGCAAATATCGAACGTTGTAGATGGATTTTGTCTCTTTTTTCAGGTCGCTGTTTTCAGTTTTAGTAATCTACTTTCTGCTAGCATGTTGGTCAGCTGGAACTGCTATCTCTAGCGGTTTGGTCGTGCCTATGTTGTAAGTACAATTTCTGTGCGAGCAGGATGCATGGGAAACCTGTGCTAAGATCAGGAAGGGTAACCTGAAGCCTACATGTATGGAAATGCACTTGTCTAAAGAAACTTGTGGCATTTTCCCAAGTTTTCAAAAGTAAAAACTGGAACTACTTCGTGTGCGTGGAACCCTTGGACACGTGTACTTTGCTTTGAATTCTTATTTATGCCCCATTCACACCATTAGACGCGTGTAAAAGTTGTTTGGTTCAATACGGTTTAAGTTTTTTCCTCCATAAAAACTTCCTAATGATTTTTGTCAGTTACAAATTTGGCACAATTGAAAGGCTGGAAGGCATAAATCAAAACTGAACTTCAAATCTATGTAAAAGTTAGTCGCTAAGTTTTCTTTTCCTGGTATTCATTTTGTTAAAACTGGTTTATCTAAACATGTTTTGTTGGTGTGAGCAGGGCTTTAGTTACTAGCTGTGTTCTGTTACTAATCAAGCCTAAGACCAACTTGAAGAACTCGTGGATTACATGTACTAACTTTCCCGCGCTTTGCAAAGCTTGGCATTGACCCGCAGCTAAATGTACTTTTCTTTGAGTTCTGATTGGTTAATGGGACCGTTTGTAGCCTGCGTGGCAGGCGTTCGAAAGGAAAGGGGAAGGGAATTAGGGCGCGAGACCACGCCCCTCGCGTTTCTCTCGCGCCTAAAACTCCCTTTTCCAAAACACCCTTTCATTCCCTTTCAAACGCCTGCCACGCAGGCTAGACCGTTTGCAGCTAATGTGATTGGTCAGGTCGTCCGTGAACTTGCTTTGAATCTGCCAGGCTCAGTAATTAGTATTACAATACTTTATCTTGTCACCAGTTCACGTAGAGATCTAATCATTTTAGATTTATAGGTGGGACTTATGGACGGATTATTGGAAGAGCTATGGTTGACATGTTCGGTTTTCACTCAACAGGTGTGTGGCTTTTAAACGAGCGTGCTTGTTCCCGCCAACTCGTTGCAGCGATTTTTAAACCTTTAAACCCAAAGATCAAAATCTGAATTCTCATTTGTTGCCCCTATTCATTTCCAACGGAAGTGGTCGGGAGAAATTGATGAAATATCGAGCAGATTCATTTGGGGATTTTTTTGGGTGGGAAAATTTTGGCAAGTATTTTTTTGGTAGCTTGATTTAAGAAGGGGTTTTTTGGGTATTCAAAACTAATGTTTCCATTTTTCGTGTTATATATCATTCTTTCTGGAAATTTTTATGGCTCGGAAATTCGGCATGGGATTTTCTTTTAAATTTTGCTCCAGGGATTTTTTTCGGTATTGATTTTTGCCCCCCATTAGATCATCCCTGTCACTTGAAATCCGGAGTACCCCCTCCCCCCCGGGGGTGTAGATAAATTGGATAAGTTAAAGGAACAGTATTACTCGACGGACTATCGTGTGACGTACAATGCAAAGCGAATTTATTACGAACTAAAACTAGATATTCTTTTCTTCATTCTGATTGGTCAATAGCACGACCCTTTTTTTGGCTCGTTAAGTTATTTTTGATTGGAATTCCAGCAAAGCTTGTTTTGATCGTTTTAACTTTCAAATGATGGCGGATGAAACTATTCATGAACGCGCTAGGGAAACAAAAATAGTACTTTTGTAAATTAATGTGACATTCCATTCGTTGACTATGACCATCGGGACAGCACTTTGCACTTACAAGAAGTCCTCTGTGCAACCCCTAAAGAAGTGGATTTGAAAGTAACGTTATATTCCGGCTGACTTTGTATTTTTACATCAGGTTACTGGGCGTGGATGGATCCAGGGGCCTTTGCGCTTATCGGTGCAGCATCATTTTTTGGTGGAGTGTCAAGACTGACCATGTCGTTAACAGTGATTATGGTAGGTCAAAATATCAACAGGGACGGTTTAAAAGAACTACAACAGTCGAAACTGAAAAGAACCGGCTCTTAATGAGCGATTCGTTATCTTTCATTATTATTCATTTATATATTCCTCCGTTTCTGATTGCCTCAAATTCCCCCTGCAAATTCTTCATGACGAGGTGGCGTTGACCGAATTTGGAAGAGTCTGCGATATCCGGGAAAATGACATCAACAAGACAGGACAGGAGGTTGCGTTAACTTAGGCCCAGTTCAAACGTCAATCTTTTCATGTACCGAACCTAATCCCTTCAATGTAGAACATGAAGAGATCGCCTTTTGAATCAATTAATTCCGACATATCATGAATTTGGGTCGACCCATGAATTAAGATCGAGTGCCCCACATGGGAATTTCGACCAGGGAGTGATTTAGTTTCAAACGTCGATTTTCTCTTTTGCCGAAACTAATGCATCAGTTACTTAAATTCATTTTCACTGGTAAGCATTTTAGACCATTGTACATCGTGAAAATGAATTGAATCCGACCAATTAAGTTCGACGTCTGAATGAACGGTCGAATTGTAGTTCTTATAAATTCATTGGACTTTCAGATGGAGATCACAAATGACATCCAGTTCTTGTTACCGATCATGGTCGCCATTATGGTAGCGAAGTGGGTTGGTGACTTTGCCACTCATCCCCTTTATCATGCGTTGCTGGAATTGAAGTGCATTCCCTTCCTTGATTCGGAACCTGTTATTCTTCACGAGGGATCACAAGCGTAAGTCGTTTACAGTCGACTCTCTCATAACGGACACCTCTATAAGACGGACACCACTGTAAAACGGACACCTAGTGTTGGTCCCTTCCTTTCTTCCCTCCCTCTATTTGACTCTCTATAAGACGCACATCTCTCTAAGACGGACAGCTAGTGCCGGTCCCAAAGGGATCCGTCTTAGAGAGAGTTGACTGTATATTCATTGATCAAACGTAAGTGCAGCACCTTATAAGTCGAATGGCTCTCAGATTATCCCAATTCTTTTTTCTCTCACGCATTGGCCGGTTTTCATTAAAGTGATGTTACACAAGACGATTCGCAACGACGATTTTTAGCGCAACACAGTGTTGCTACATTGTTGCGACATTGTTTCGAATAGTTATAACATTGTACCAATATTGCGACGCTGTGTTGCGTTAAAAATCGTCTTTGCGAATCGTCCCGTGTGACATCACCTTTAGGGAACTAAGTAAAGGCGTTTAAAATAACGCACGTCCGTCCACCGGAAATGGACTTTTTGCATTCATCAGCAGCGGTTTTGCCCAATACTTCGGACCAATAGTCTCTTTAAGAGTGAAGAAACTTAGCAAGATAAGTTTGGTAGCGTCAGGGCATATTGACAGGGAAAAGGGCTCACATTCGGTTGATATGCGGGGCACAGGCAACACCTTTGCTTAAGGCTGCGTGCAAACGGACGTAACAACTCCCAACATTGTTGCGCCAACAGTGTTGGCAGTTATTGCACGCGTGTTGGCAGTGGTGTGCAAACGGATGCAACAACTCCCTACAATGGTGGGACCTGCAGTGCATCGTGGGAAAGATACAACCCATAAGTCTTTGTAAACCATGCGTAATGAGCGTGCGCGGCCCCAACAATGTTGGAAGAGCTGTGCAAACGCATCCAACATTGTTGCGCTACGCTTCGGCGATCACGGAACAAAAGAAATGTTGGGAGTTGTTGGCTGAAAAGTTTGACCGGTTTCAAACTTTGCGCAACAACACGCAACAACATCCAACAACTACAACAGGGTGTGCAAACGGACGCAACATGTAACATCAAACAATGTTGGGAGTTGTTGGTCAACAATGTTGCGTCCATTTGCACGGGGCTTAAGATGCCTGTTGGTGAACTTTCTCATTCAAACGACACATGATCGTACCAAGGTCCCTCAGTATTCTCATGTGTTTTCCCGCGCGTGGTTATGACGGCATTCATTGCTTTAAATTCTGATTGATTCCTTGAATTTTCTGAGTTTGCTGTACATGGCCGAAGTGGTAAATTCAGTTTTAGATTGGTTTTTAGAGATTTGGCTTCAGTTTTAGACAGTCGGCGAAGTGTTATATTGACTATGGAGGCAACACAAAGAGTAATACCACTTATAAACGAGTCTCGTTCTCTCTAATCCCTCATTTCTGAGTTGCCTTAAGGCTCTTTTTCAAAGCGTGGCCTACTGCCAAGCCGTTAATATGAAAATGATTTTACATTCCCGTGAAAATAAATTTCATTTTCACAAGAAAGGCATTGCAAGTGAGAGTTTTTGGAACTCTTGTTAAAGTTTGTGTTTCAAAGAAATTTCCGGGTTGCGAATTCGAGTTGCGAATTCAAGTTCATAAAGGCAAATGAATATTAACAATTATTGTCATGCAGAGAGCGAGACATAAACGTAAAAACCAATACAAGGAAGACATGATTTACCCGTCAATCACGTTTTTGTTTTCTTCTTCGCGCCGCTTTCCCCTTTGTTATTATTAAAACGTGCTAACTAAAAATCTCCATCGACTTTTTTCTTGTAAGCAACTTTCTTTGCTCTTTTAGGATTAACTTGGAGTTGTTTAAAGCTGAAGATGCCATGTCGTCGCCGGCCATTGTAAGTTTAACAGAATTAACTCATACTTTTTGATTATTTGAAATCGGAAATTGCTGTAAAAACTTTTACGTAACTTCATGCCTGAAAAAGGTTAAAAATACTAGAAAGTTTTGCAGAAATCCATGGGTCACGTTAGTTTTAAAACTTTCGTTGCATTTTATTTCCAAAAGTAAACGGATCATTATACGTGTCTGGGAAACTGCTCACTTTCCCACTTTCACTTTCCCAGGGCGTCCTGAAGTGATGCACTAATCAGCGACCATCGAAGGGGCACGGGCGGGTAGGGTGCGGGTTTTGTTTACTGTTGTCGCCAGTTTTAGTCCGGGATGGCTGGGAGTGAATCACTTAATTGCACTTTTCATAGTGTTTAAGAAACTCGAGGAGACTTTTGGAAGTATAGACGTACAGCTGGGTCCTCTTCTTCGGTGCATACCTGAAGGATTCAATTCCTCGCACGCTCAGGAACTAAATCCTTGAATTTTGCATTTTCATCTTTCAGGTTGTTCACAAAATCGAGTCAGTGTCTCGACTCACTCAGCTTTTGCAAGATACCCCTCACGGTGGGTACCCTGTGGTGGTGAAAACTGACAGAGAGGATGAAGTGTTCTCAGGTTTAATATCTCGGTAAGTGTTTCCCTATCCAGTACTCCTTCCCGGTAATTTCCTTTTACAGGTAGCCCAAGCTCGAAATATGAGCATCGGCGAACATCGGCATTGTTGCATAACATTCGAAATATAAGGATTTTTTACCTCCTTCCTTTGAGGGGTGCATAGGTATGTTGTAGGTAAAAAAGGAAATTCAGGTGACAAAATTGTAACCTAGGTTGATCCTCTATATTCTTTTTTTCCAACCTAAATTATTACAATAATGAAAGGGAGACAAAGGAAGCTGATAATTAAATTACGACAAAAAAATTAATCCAAATTTGATTTGGACTTGAAACATTTATACTCTGTTAGTTATTTATGGTCGCTTTATGCATCACAAAATTTCTTTCGTTTCTAAGGTGGATTAATATTGCCAATGTCCGCTTCTGTTGTTGCCTTTTAGAAACGACATCACGGTTCTTCTGTCTCGCGAAGATATATTTTCCTCTCGAGAGAATCTATCACTGTACGAAGAAGAGTTGGACGTAAACAGACTTGACTACTATCAAGTGAGTACGGCTGTTTAAAAATTTGTTGCTGTCGTTGTTTGAGGTGAAGAGGCGAAGTTTTTACGAAACTGTAGTCTGCACAGTGGATGCTCATTAACATTTTAAGGCCTGTTTTCATGGAGCTGGGGGACCCCAGGTAGGTGAGGTAACCTGCTTTGGTGCTGCAACCCGCCTGTCCATATAATCTCTCATTGTAATTTGATCACGTTTGCATTCTAGGTAGGGTGACCATACGAAAGATTATACGGACAGGCTGGTTACCCCACCTAAGTGGGTTACTTCACCTACTTGGGTTCCCCCACCTACATGTAAACGGGCCCTTAGATTAAAATCCCAAACGTTGATCCACCCTTTTTGGCATGGTGTTTATCTTTTTAATCTGAAATTAGGAAGATCACAAGGCATCAGTTGAGTAAAATTGGTGACTAGTAGAAGAGTTCTCCTGCTCGTCTTCTAAACATTGCCTGACACGATTTCGCCGGTGCATGTGCATCCAGGGTTAAAGTACGGAAAAACGGGCACTAAAAACGTGCAACTTGGTTTGCAGCATTGCTGCCCAACGAGTTGAAAAGCGCTGTTGCGCCGTTTTACCACCCACTAATCAAACCTGTCTTGCAACAATTAGGTTGTTGCAGGTTGGGGAAAAAGTTGTTAAAGAAAGCAGAGAGTAGTTCAACTTTTGCAACAAAACCTTTACATATTGCACGTTTTACCGGCCAAGGCACACTTACTTTGCAACGAGTGACTCAGTCCTGTCTATGTCCTGACTCCGGCGTAATTTTGTCCAATCAGTAGTCAGTATTCGCGCAACTTGCGACAGCCTGATTTGTTGCAAGACAGGTTTGAACGTGGGTGATAAAACGCGCAACATCGAGTTCAACACCTTCTGTAGTAATGTTCCATAACAAGTTGCCCGTTCTTGTTGCCCCTTTTACTGTAGCTTTATTTACCTTTACAACTCATATGCTTTCTTCGCTGTGAACTGAGAGGAATTCTGACTGAAGTTTTGTGTGAACTCCTGTTTATTAGCTGTCCCCTTAGTCTATATGAAAGTCTATAGCGTTTATTTTTTTGCACTTGGTGGTTTAGTGATAATATGAGCGAAATCTTATTGACTAAGTATTGATCTCTGCTTCTGCATGGTTGGTATTTAGTTACCTGTTAAAAAAAGAATTCGTACTTATCACATGTATGCTCTTGTACGCCAAAACACTAAGGTTTCTCTTTTTTTTGTAGATGCACCAAGGATACCACAAGGATGCTGATCGATTGAACTCTCAGTTAGACCTTTATGCAGAAGATCCTCGTTACCAGAATTTATTCATCGATCTGGTAAGAAATTACACTGGAAAAAAAAATAGTATTTTCCCAATGTAGCAATATCAAAAGTTGGGGCGGGGTGAGTTAGTGTCGGGTTTACACCTCTCTCATCTTCAGGCCACACAGTAAAGTAAAGTTCAAGCAAGTCGAGACAAGAACGCTCTTAAAAGGGAAAGTCTCGCTTGCTTGGACCTTAGATACGAAATGTGGAGGCGATTAATTCTACACGAAACAGGATTTCCCCGCTTAAAGTTTTTCACTTCCTACTTCATCGACGGTCGAGTATTCTTCAGGATATTTGCTTTTTATATCGTATTCCACGATTTATACGCGTGTATAAATACACGAAAATCAATTCGAGAGAAATTACATCATTGCCAGAGAGCACAAACGTGATGAACATGGCGTGTCATTTCAATCATCCCCGAAATTAAACCCCATGCTCATCACAAGACTCATCCGCATACAACTGGTGCATTTGTAATAGTTGACGTGTATATGTTTATCACGTTTCTACTCTTTGGCAATGATGTAATTTCTCTCGAATCGAGGCCCTTGATTTTCGTGTATTTACACACGCATACTTAATCAATAGACCCTTCCACGGGGTTTTTCAACTTTTTACATAGACCAGTTGGGGAAAAGCCGTTGACACCACCCCGGAAAGAGCGTCTTAAAATTAATAAAATTGCCAAATTTGAAAGTGATAGGTCTTAAATGAGCGAAGACATAGCTGCATATGTACGAATATTTAGTAAAAGACAAAGGAACAAATTCCCCTGGAAGCTTCATTGGGAAAAAACTGAGCTAAAGAGAGGTCTATTGAGAGATTGGATTAATCGACAAACAAAGAGCAGACCTGGTGCTGTAGATGTATAGTGTAATTCCTTTATGGGCACCCAACGAGAATATAGTTTAAAAACACTTAAACCTAGCATTGTTAAACGTATTTTAGTATTTAAACAGTAGATATAGGCATATTTTTATCTCCTAATCATTGGGGAGAAGCAGGCAAGCAAGAAATTTTACAACAAATGTTCCGAAAATTCTAGATCTCAAATCGTCTTCCGAACAGATATTTTCCGAAAATTGACGTTGGGTGCCCCTGATTCCTTTTTCAGATTTGTATAGGTAATAGCATGATTTGTAGTGATATTTGGCATAAATATCATTAGTGATATTCCCAAATTGTTGTACGTAAATTTGAGACAATTTTGAAATATCACGAGCTGTATTTATGCCAAATATCACGTACAAATTATGCTATTATTTGTTTATACTACTACCCGCAAAAGTTTTGTAATTTTCACATGTAGGTATTTCAGATTAAGCTGAAATACTAAGCCAATCAAATTGCAGAAATTTCTCATGTAGTAACTTTTTGTATCGTTTGCAGTCACCTTACGTGAATCATTCCGCTCCCACGGTACAAGAGACGTTCTCTCTTCACAGAACCTACATCATATTCAGGACACTGGGTTTGAGGTATGTCTGTCTACTGATGATTCTAACACTGATAATGAGATGAGCGAATTTTAAGGACGATACCTTCGGATACAGAGCTATTACCGTATATTTGTCATCGTGGCCAGGAAAATTGGTATTAGGGTGGGTTGGAGGCCAGGGCCGGACTGTCAAAATAATTAAGATGACACCCAAACAAGGGAGGACCCAAGTTATTTAACATATATACCAATAATGGTATATTCACAAAGATTTAGCTAAGTTATTTCCAAAAACTGCTTTCTCCTTTAGTAATAAATTTCGTTCAACATAAACTAAATTCTGTTAATGACCACGCCTCGCGGCAAGAACACTGCGTGGGTTGATAAGCTGTTGTTGACTATCACTTGAGACATAGACTGTTCACAGTCCTTTTTAAGATCCGGTCGAGATCGAGCGCTTTGCGTTACGGGCGGCCATCTTGGGTGAGTGTCCAATATACTTATGGGGAGTGGGACCGCCACCTCTTTAAACCCCGACGCCCGCCCCCCTTGGTACATATGAAACCAAGATGGCTGTCGGACCGGTAGGCGCTCGATCCTGACGATCTTACGAAAAAATAGGGGACTGTGAACAGTCTACTTGAGCCAGTGAAAACAGGGACGGGTTTGACCCACTTTTTTCAACCTTCTTTTACCAACAGGCATTTAACGGTCGTTGACGAGAGAAACAGGTGAGTTATAGTTTCTTTTATGGCTTTCTTCCGTCATGCTTGTTTGCTTTAATAAAAAAGTCGCTGCTCGCTCTATCGTGACGACAACAGCAGTAATAGCGTCACTAGTGAAGCGAAGTTATGCTCCTTTAAACTTCTTCGCGAATCCTCTCTTGAACTCGCTCAATTTGTCAAAATAGGCGAATTTCGCTGAATTTGCATAGTAAGGTCGCTCCAACTTCAAAACGAGGAAGAATCCACCTCTCTTTAGTTTCTGAGCTTTTGTGATAATTACTGTGTGTGAAACTACAAAGGTTCTCGATTAATGATTCCTTTACTCCAGGGTCAGGGGAATAATAACCCGCAAAGATCTCATGGGATTCCAAATGGAGGAACGCATCCACAAATTCCTTCACTCGTCCCGGGACCATGAAATGCAGTCACCGAGTTCGTCACTAGTGCACCGGTCAAGCATGGACGCTTAAAGTGAGTTCGAACCTGTCACCTCTCTTGCTTACTTGTCGAGCGGTGTTATGTGGCCTTGCTTACTTCCAGCGTACCTATCTCAGTTAGAAAAAATTCTTCACTTTTTATGAGGAAAATCATGCGTTGAATACAGGTAAACTTGTTAACAATTATTCCTCGAGCCTCATGAGGCCGAAGGCCGAATGGGCTATTGACTCAGAGGCCATGAGGGCGAGAGGAATAATTGTTTTAGTAAAATCCAACTAGTTGGTCAAAAACATCGAGAATAAAAAACTTTTAGTTAGTTAAAGCTAGACTTTAATCCTTTTTTGTCGCCAAAAAGCCCGCGCTTTTCGCTACTAGTGGGCTATAACATATAGCCTAGTAGTAGCTCAACCAATCAGAACACAGCATTGATAATAGACCACTGGTTGGATTTTACTAATATCTAATACACAGTAGTGATAGACGTCGCGAGTAGTTTTGGTATTATACGGTACTTATGACATACGTATGTAAAATCGTAGCAGAAAAACATTTATAAGGTATAATATTATATAAATTATTAGTGGAATTAATCAAATTTAGATTTCGGTGAAAATACAGTCGACTCCCGATAACTCGAACCCTCGCTAACTCGAACCAAAATGGATTTCCCTTGGATTTCCATCCTACATTTACTGTAATTTTACCCTTGGTAACTCGAACTTCCGCTAACTTTTGTTTCCCTTCAGATCACTTTTACGTAACTTTACCCTCGATAACTCGAACCATACTTTAACCCCTGACAAGTCGAAAAAAGTGTACTGCAGTCCGAAACATTGAAATTATTTAATCCCCGTATATCCTTTGTCTTTTCTTTTTTGTCAGTCCAGTTTAAATACAGTGTCCAGCACTGTGTATTAATCAAGTTTTGAAGTCTGCATCTTACTTGCTTTCATTCCTCATCGCATTTCTTTTTTTTCCGGTTATTTGCTTCGAACTCCCGCTAATTCGAACCTTTTTCGATTTCCCTGAAGGTTCGAGTTATCAGGAGTTGACTGTACTTATATTCTTCTGTTGTCAAAAATTTGTTCTTAAAGTGATGTTAAATTCCTACAAGTATAACGCACCGATTAAAATATAAATCAGAATTCCTTATTGCATGAAAAGAAAGAATGAACAGAAATATCAATTTAGAGGTTATCTTATCTGATTAATTTTAGTTTATTGTGAAGGATTAGTCCATAAATTTCAAAAATATTTTCCATAGATCGTTTTTTAATGTATAGGATTCTACAAATGTCCAGTAAATAAGAAAGAAATTCAAAATATAATGTAAATTTTGCCCAATCATAGGCTTGTTTTATTCGTTTATAATTGATCCATTATGCAGCCATTAGGTCGTTCAGTTTCGCTTTGGGGCCCACCATATATACTAGAATATCACTGCGCTTATAACCCTTTTATCTTTTCGATGCAGCGTTGTTTGGGAGCAGTGCGTATTATCGATCTTAGGCAGCGTTAAACAGAAGATGCTTTAACCCGCTTTTTGTTTAGGCGCGGAGTTTTAACGAGCTCTTCCTCAAGGTATTTACTCAAGCGGTGGTTAGCATTTTGTTTGCCAGCACTGTCAACGGCCATCCGGTAAAACAACTGATGAGATTTGCGGAAATAATTATTTACCGCCACTTTGATTCTCGCGACCGCTCGAGCTACGAAAAAGCAGCAAAGAAGTACCATTTTTGAGTGAGAGCTGGTCAATGGTTTTCGGAGGCGGTTTTAACGTGATGCTTAGATACTTACCACCTCTAAAATTGAGAGAGCCACGTTCTCATTGCGCTTAACATTTCAGTGGTTAATCCGGTGCTTATTTGATGAAAGCGCTTTTTTGGAGTAAAATCTAAATACGTTTTTGTACTCAGGCTCTCTTTCATTTGACTTATGGAGCGGTTTGCCTCGCGTGTTGCCTGCCACTCTTGCCTCTCACTTCAGAGAACTGAAGTAACAAACGCGTCGCGCGACAATGTTGCTATTGAAGAGGGTGATCTTGTTATTATGAGAAAAATGGTTTTAAGGCGGGTTGTTATCTTTTGCTTTGCTGACCAAAACAATGGTGTCCTCTGTTATCGTTGAATTTTGGATTCTGTGGTTTATTTTTTGACAACAACGTATATCTGATCCAATTCTCTCCTTTCAAAGATTTCAAACTGAATTCTACATTGTTTCTTTTATTATTTATTTTGACTTTCCTTGAAATTATACAACCTTTATCCGCTGGTGATACTAAATTTATGCTTTTACTCTTTGAGCTTATAAACGAAGTTGCTTCCCTCCCTTCCAACCCCTCTCCAGCAGTTCTTCGAAGGTCCGTATTTGTCGTATGTCTTCCAGGCGTCCACTCCACTCCAACATTCTCCATAAAACTGGATACCAAATATGGTAAGACCACGCCTCTGGACTAGTTCCGCGCATGCTCTCACTGTTTTAGTCAGGTTGTTCCAGTCAATGTTTTTTCGAAGGTTCTCGACGAGCAAAGGAAGAGAGCGAGGCCTGCTGTCTTTGAAGCATCCAAGCGACTCGAACTGAACTGAAAATGATAAAAAAGGAAATAAAAAGAAAAGAAAGTGGTGTGGGGGGGCGGGGGTGGGTGAGAAAAACGGGTGACGGGACACTACTATTTCTCACTTGTGTTCAAAACCTCATAAAAAAAATCACGATCAAAGCGTGACATTCGGTACGTGATTTGCGCGACATTCGTGTGCGAGATTGCTCATTTGATTTGACTTTTGAAAGGTCGTCTGTTTTTTCATCCTGCATTCTGTAGCGTTCCTCTAACTTCTGATCTCTACAACCCGCTTCTGTGATACATTAGCCTTTCTCACTAGTAGGGTGTATTTTGTTCTAAATTAGACTTGATTTGTATCATAACGTGAATTTTACTTTAGACTTCCCTTTAATCTCATTCCCAAATCTCTTTTGGGGTCGACGAACAAGACGGAGGCCTTTGCTGTCACGCGCAAGTGAAAAGAACCAGTGAGTCAGAGATGTTATATTATAAAAGAAAGTAAAATGATAGAATTTAAACTGTGCGTCTTCGCTTGCGCAGAACATTTTAACGACATCACAAAAGTATACAAGCGTAATACCTGGACAGTCTTTCGGGTTGCAAGCTCTAGTCTCCATACTCGGCCCATTGCACGCTCCACCACATGCAGACGCGTTGGACTGTATTGACCCAATACACATGCGCATGCGTTCTTGTACACCGGAACCGCACGACTTGTTGCATTTGCTCCAGTCTCCCCACCTGCTCCACCCCAAAAATTCTACAAGGGAATCGACAAATTAACCTCTATGCATGACAAATAAACAGGAAAGGAGAATTGTAAAAGGATCGTCCTTTTTCAAACTAAAATGATATCAAATATCAGTTTAAAGAACATCTGCGTTCCCCTTTTTTCTTATTGCCAATGTTCCATCCTTAGGTTATTAATTTGTGGCAAGTCAGACGGTGAAGTTGACAACCTGACCATTTAATTATATAGGTCCTGGTTAAATGTCAATATTGACCTGTTGTAGACAATTTTTGAGTCTGTTGACAAAACCCTACCATGCGACATTTTAACGAAGACTCCAATCTTTGAAAGGGCTCGCTTGATACTTTACGTTCATTATTATTTTAGAGGGTAAAAAGATGTTTTGTTGAAGCGTGTCTTTGGTTGTTGCTAGGATGTGGCAGAGAAGTTGTTGAAGGGGAGGGTCCTATATGGTCGGTCGAGTAAGTCTGGTCAAACACAAAAATCTGGTCGATAAAGTAAGTTCTGAATCACCTAGAAGGCCTTGGAAAAGTTATATCCTGAGTTACTCCCTTGTCTTAATAGTCGATCTGATGGCAAGCAACTAGCTTTGGTGATTCACTACGCTCTATGTAACTTAAGGTTAAACTAAAATATACTCTCTTCGCCTCCATCGCTGTTTTATTTTTTTTCGTGTGACACTCAATTTGCTTTTACCATTTCAACTAGAATTTTGGAATTGTAAAGAATATTGAAATCAGTTTAACTGGATTTGATATTTGAAATTATACTGATTGAAGCCGATCGATGTCATTTCTTAACACAAACTAACAAACCTGTTTCACAGCAATCGCCAATGTAATTTAACGGACACGAGCAAAACCATCGATTCGGTGTCCCTCCATTGCGACAAAATCTGTTGCATGGCCGCCATTCCTTTGGTAACACATGTGTGCACGATCCATTTGGACAAGATGACGGATGATGGACGAGCCTAGTTCTCGACTGGTATCCTTTTTTCCCGCAAGGAGACGAGCATGAACCCCATTGAGTCCACTGGCTTGTTAAACATTCTTTACACTTTGGTACTTCACACAACCAACAAGGTGTTTTAAATGACTGCGAGGAGCTTTCAGCGTAGTTAGCGTCGAGACTTCCTCCTTCGCAGAAATGCGGCGAAGCGATGGTGAGCAAAACTGTTAGAACCAGACAAGGAATCATTTTTTTAAATCAAGGTTTCGGTGGGAAACCCTCTTTGTTTTTAATATGAGAGAGATGAAAATATCTTCAATTTGTTCAAAGCTGTTTCTTTCCTAGACCACTTAAAGAATTGTTTATTTTTTGGACATTTCTTTCAATGTAACAATTAATTTTTTCATCATTATTAGATATTTGGCAAGATCAAACCAATCATACATTTTGGAACATTAGTGACCTGGGTTTTCCCTGGAGTCGGAAATGACCTGTCGGAGTTTGGCAGTTCTCTGAGTCTTTTGCCTGCGCCCTGAGCAAATATAAACCTCCGAACGAAACGGTTGTTTAGTACAAAAAATAATATTTCCATACCCGGGTCAAGATCCCGTTTCAAACGACAGTTTTTATTGTCTCTCTACTAATATAAAATACATGTTTATTTCTACTTTAATTTATGAAATGCACGTATGTCTAAATGGATGTATACGTGTTTCTGAAACTAAATAATGTAGTAACGGTATTTGAAACAAGCTGTGAATAGTAAATTCAGTTCAAAACCTATATTGCTTATTTAATAAAAAGTTGTAAATTAGTCAGACGATCTAAGTAAAATTGATTCTCCCTGTCCCTAAACTGGCCTCAATGGAATTTCTTGGCTTAACCTAAAGAGAAGAAGAGAAAAAAAGAATACATTTAATGTAAAAACTAGTGAAATTCGCCATGGTGAATCAACACGATGACAGGGGATAAAACAGGTGGACTTTCCTCCCAATTGATATCAAACTCTTCATTACCCACTCAGCCCATGAGATGTTGATCGCTTCACCGGGTTCTAGGTCCCCTACTCTTTACGAACAGCAGTGTGGATTATTTTACGTCATACCAGCGAAAGTGCTGTGAAACGGGACCCTTGGATTTGAAACAAAGGCAGCACATTCTTCTCAGTTATTTTAAGACCGTGAGGCTGGGTCCGAGAGGGACTGGAACACGGGCCCACTGCGTGTACAACGGTACACAGCACGGATTGAGCTTCCAGTCGGCGGTTCAATAATGTACTTGATTAACGTTTACTTTGTAACACAGCTACCCTGTTTGGACCCTTAGTTAAGTGCTGCAGAGGATGTTTGGTTGGTTGTTATTCAAATGTGTAACGAGTAAAACGAAAGAATCTGGTTTCAAGAACGAATGATCTTCTTGTTGGCACATGAAATATCGATATGTGACGAAAGTGCGATTATCGCTTGGCCAGTGGTCTAGTTTGTGTAAGTTTTTTTATGTGTTTTACATTACTACCCTAGAATCTGAATTGAAATACTTTCAACTGGCTAGACAAAATTGAGGTAGAGAAATTTTAGAGAGCACAGTGGTTGTTTTGCTCACTGCGCAGAGAAAAGGTGGAAATTTTGAGTGATGTAGCAGCTATCGTAAGGTCTCCTCTGATTGGCTAACAGCTTATTCCTTTGTTATATTAATTTTTATATGTCCCTTTATAATTTTTCAACCTGAGATGATGTTTGATAGTTGATTGTTATTAAACTAGAAGGTTAATTTAAATTTCATACTAGAGATTGTCATTCTAAGACTTAAATGGAAAGGGAGCATTTCGTATAGAGAGCTTGACACATAAAGAGACGTATTCAACGCATTTATAAGATAGCCTGCCTAGCAGGCGTCCAAAACTAAGAAGAGGAAAGGCATAAGGAGAAAGGGGGAAAAGAGAGCCTTTCTTCCTACTCTCTCACTCTCCCCTTTTTTCGCCTGTCACGGAGACCAGCATTCTACAGGATTTTCATGGATTTTAAGGGTTCAAGGATTTCAAGTTGCGAGGGTTTCAAGCGTTGCAAGGGTTTCAAGCGTTACAAGTGTTTCAAGCGTTACAAGGGTTGTTGTAAAGCGTTACAAGGTGTTGTTGTAAAAGGAAAGGAAAGTAAGAAATAATGATGCTCCCTGGCTAACACCAGAGATAAAAAGGATGATGTTTGAGAGGGACAAACTGAAAAGGGCTGCAATTATCAACAATTCAGATGCTTATTGGACCGAGTATAAGATTGCTCGAAACAATGTAAATGCTAATATCAGGAAAGCAAAAACTAACTACTATAAAAGGTATTTCGAAACAAATCTAGGGGATATTAAGAAATCATGGAAAGGAGTAAATTCAATATTGGGCGGAAATTTACCAAAAACTGAAATAAATAGAATAGATGTTGGAGATAACTCAAGTACTACCCCATTAGAAATCTCTAATGCTCTTGATTATCACTATACTCACATGGGGCCTAGGTTAGCCGATAATATTCCCAAAACTAGTGTTTGTTTCGAGGACTACATTACGCTATCAGATTCTAGTTTTACCCTGAACGAAACTCACTGCGGTGTTGTTCACCGTCTAGTGAGTTCCCTTCGAGTCGACAAGGCTACGGGCCTAGATGGTATTTCTGCAAGGCTTTTGAAAGAAGCTTGTCCTGAAATCGTGCCTTCTCTCACCCCATATAATTAACCTATCCATTAGGTGTGGGTATTTTCCAGACGAGTGGAAAATTTCCAAAGTATTACCTTTATATAAGGAGGATATTAAGTCTGATCCTAACAACTATAGATCTATATCTATTCTACCAGTTGTCAGTATAATAATCGAAAAGGTTGTTTCAAACAACTTTATGAGTACCTAACTCACAATAATTTGCTGACAGTTTCTCAGCATGGTTTCAGACCGATGCATTCTACTTTGACTACCTTGCTTGAAGCTACTAACAACTGTTACTTAAATATTGATGATGGCCTAATTAACAGTGTACTCTTTCTGGATCTTAAGAAAGCCTTTGATACGGTTGACCACAGCACATTGTTAAAAAAACTGCAACTTTATGGTCTTGCCCCGCATGCAGTTCAGTGGTTCAAATCATACCTATCAAATCGCTTTCAGAGTACTTATGTAAATGGAACTCTATCAGACTATCTTCCTGTTAGTATAGTTGTGGGGTCCCACAAGGTTCTGTTACCTTGTTTCTGTACTTTGTTGCTCATTTATATAAATGACCTACAAGAATGCGAGCTGTCATCATCTGCACTCATGTATGCTGATGACACCTCCCTTACCCTTTCCGCTTATGACCCCGCAACTTTTGAAGAAAAGTTAAACAAAGACTTGGATGAGGTTCAAAAGTGGCTGAAATCCAATAAACTCACATTAAATGTCAAAAAGACAAAATATATGATAATAATTTGGAAGGCATTTAAATGGTGACTTAAACGTTACTGTTAATAGTCAACAATTGACTCGGGTGACTAATTATAGATATCTGGGAATAGAGGTTGACGAGGCATTGGGGCATTGTAGATACCGTCTGTAAAAAGGTATCTGCAGGTATAGGGGCCATAAATCGTATTCCCTGGTGCCTCGCTAAACCCTACTTAAAATGTATGAAGCTTTAGTCGCTCCTTATTTTGATTATTGCTTCGAAGTTTGGGGATGTATGGGAAAAGGCCTGTGTGACAGACTCCAGAGACTGCAAAATAGGGCTGGGAGAATTATAAGATTTAGTGATTATAATACAAGATCTGCGGATATCCTCCAAGACTTGAGATGGGATACCCTTGAGCAAAGACGCTCTAAACAGGTGGCAATAAGTGTTTTTAAATCTCTAAATAACCTTTACCCTAAGAGTTTAAAGAACATGTTTAAACCAACCTCTGGGGTTCATTCCTACAACGTGCGAGGTGCCTCGAACATTTTTGTACTAAGGCCCCGTACTGAAGCTGTTAAGCGGGCTTTTAGCTATAGGGGAGCAGTCATGTGGAATGGCCTAGAAAATGTGCTTAAAGACGAGATAAATCTCAACTCTTTCAAGTCTGCCCTGTCTTTGTCTTGAACCAGGGATTACCTTGAAGGAGTTAAAGGGCAACTCTCGCGTAGGGCAACATTTTTCGGAAAACCTTGCAAATGTTTTTCTCATTGTAATACCATCAAGAAATATATCGTCAGCGATCTATTTGGCTCAGAAATCGAGATTCAAAGTGTTAAATTTGCCGCTTACTCGAACTTCCGCCATTAACGCTTCGATTTTGCCTATCACGTGACGTGACGTCACAGGTGTGGAACAACAAATGATCTCGAATATGGCTGACTGTAGTTCTTCAAGTGATAGCGCTTGTTTTGCACTCCGTTGACAGCTGTAATTAGTTTTGAGTCACGGTATTTTTTTTGATTGTTTTTATTAGCGATAAAACCGGACACGCAAGATTATTATTCTTTCTTAGAATTTAGCCAATCAGTTTTCAGCTCGCTCGTGGGACTAGCGTGATTAGAGAAATTGAAGGGTCTGTGAGAAAGAATCCTGTTATTGAAAACAGTGTCTTATACCTTTTCTTCAAATAAGATAGGAAAATAGCCGTGTCATCACGGGATAACGCCTTACAGAATTGTAAGTATGTTCACATTTGTTGAAGAAAGTTTGCTGATTTCATTTTCAGTTAGATTCGATTTATCAAGCTTTTATAGTCGATTCACAAGTAAGCAATGCAATGTATGCCTTTATTTTCAGTTGACTACGCATATACACATCTAGCTAGTTGTCGCGAGATTGGAAATTGTGACATTAAAGTAGTTCAAAAACAACTGGTAGATCCCGTTGACATTATTTTCCTGGTGTGTCTTCAACCCGAGTAGTACCCAAAACCGAGGTACGAAACAGCGCTACCTCTTTGTCCGATTATTCGGATGTACAAGAACTTTTAGAATGCGAAGTATAGGGCAACCCCTCACGGCAATTCAACCCCGGCGTTTTGACCGGCCGGAAGATCGTCCGAAGCTGATGAAGTTTGTGCGTCGCCAGAAAACATCGAGCCTGCCACTCGCCCGCTGTGATCTCGATAGTGAAGTATGGTGAGTGGCTAGATGGTTTTAAACAATTCTTGTGTACAGTGCGATCCGCATATCGCTTGATTTCATCAATGCTATGAATGCTTCAAATTGTAAAAGGAAAAGGACTAATTAAACACGCATTTTTTTTTGTATACTGAGCGTT